TAAACGATAGGAAGACGACGTGAAAGAGATACTTCTCTTACTAGGCTTTAAATCTTATCCTAAAGATCCTACGCTTTATACTAATAATCGTATAGTTATTATAGTATTTATTAACGATTTCCTAGCCGCCTACTACCGAAGTTAGAGATTATACGCTTACTAGATAAAGTAACTTCTCTTATAGCGCTTTAAGATAAAGGACTATAGCGAACTTACCTAATTTATCGGTATTCGAATTATATACGACCGATAGCGACGAAAGACCTAGCTAAACTAATTAGTCTATATTAAAAAGATTACTACTAAATTTAACCTATTAGGTAGGAAACTACCTAATACACTACTAGTTAGTAATTAATATCTTAATCTGATTACTAGTTAAAGAAACTAATTAACCGTTAAACTATACTAGTAGAAGTATAGTTCGACCCTTTTCCCTGCTATATAGACTAGACTAGACACCGTCTTTACTAATTAGCTACTAGCTAAATCTCTTATACGCTATAATAAGAAGTACCTAGCTACTATCGACTACCTAATCTCCTACCTATATAGGACGAAAGACCTAGCTATCTATTTTAGTAGTAGCTAATTAGATTACTAGATCTTCACTACTTCGTCCGATATAAGCTTTACCGATAATCTTGATAGGAAGTTATTAGAAGGTTTTATCTTCTTATTATTTAGTAGTCTAATCGAGTAGAAATCTCGTAAGCAGAAGACGATTACTATATTAACTATAGAAGCTAAATTACTAGCTATATTATATATAGCTAAATAGCTATACTAGATTAAACGTCTCTTCTTATTTATTGAATTCGACACTAACTAACTAGAAGTGTTAAACTGCGATAACAAACAGACCGTCGACCTATTAAATCGCGAGAAATCAGTCTTTTAGACTAAACTTCGCTACGTAGATATTAACCGCCTATAGATTCGTTAAGAGATATAAGTAAAGCGCCTATCTATCTAATAGGTAAAAACCACCGATATACCCGTAGACGGTCTTACTAAGCGCCTATCTAGGCAGAAGTATAACGATTTTATTAGATAACTAGGTATAGAGATACTACCTCCTATCTAGTTATTCTATCTCTCTTTTCTCTTATTCAGTTCTCACTTTACTCTCATTCCGCTCTTATATCGAGAACTGAGGGGATATATTAATATATAGATATTATAGGGTCATATAACGAAGGACCCACTTATATAACCCCTCTCTATATCTAGATCTTCTTCTCTATAAGATCTGTCGAATTGATCCTTAACGATCTTACATTGAATTGTATACTCGCATTGAATTGCCTATCTAGGCAGGAGACTATCTAACACTCTAATACTCTATCCTTTCTTATGTGATCTTTTACTATATTTCCAAGATATAAATACTACTATGTTTCCTAACTAAATTGAATCAAGTTTATCATCCCTTTTGATCTCTCTTCTAGATCGGTGGTACTCTTCCACAATCGTGGTACTTCTCCTTCTTAGAAGTACGCACGACCGATAGACTCATAACCGTGTATTCAGACACTACATTGAGTATTTACTAATCCTTATACACACTATCGTCTTATGTGTATAACCACGACTTTATGGTCATAGCCTAGAGTCCGACAATAGTTTACTAAAGACTAGACCTAAACTATTCAGTATCTAATTAACGTTAGATTAAAGCTATAGCATAGCTTAGGTCTTATACGAAAGGATACAGATATCTTGATTAAACCAAGAGATATCTATAATATCTAAGGAGAATTAAGAAGAAAGAAACTTGGTAATTATACACTTCAAAATAATAATTAGAGATATGTATTTAAGCAGGATACTAAAGGCTATATCCTTTTCTTTATGTTTGCTCATCCTGAATTAATTAGATATCCTAACCAATATAATAGGGTCTTTCTATTAGATTACACTTATAAGATAAATCGATATAAGATACCTCTTTTATATATTATCGGTCTTTCACTATTAAATTCATCTTATAGTATTACTTTCTGCTTTATACAAAATAAGTAGGAAGAAAGCTATAAGTAGACTCTACAGACCTTCTTTTCATGGCTTAATCCTTTACCCTTTTCACCAGTGCTTTATACTAATAGAGATCTTGCTTTAGTAGGTACAATTAAATCTATCTATCTAAAGAGCCCACATTTACTATACGTTTAGTATATTAATAAAAACGTGGTTATAAAGATAAAGTAATGTCGGACTTTAGGCGGTAACCATAAAGTAGTGGTTATACACACAAGAAGATAGTGTGCATAAAGGTGGGTGAATACTCAATGTAGTGTCTGAATACACGGTTATGAGTCTATCGGTCGTGCGTACTTCTAAGAAGGAGAAGAAGTACCACGATTGTGGAAGAGTACCACCGATCTAGAAGAGAGATCAAAAGGGATGATAAACTTGATTCAATATAACTAGGAGACAGGGCGGTATTTATATCATAGGAAACATGATAAAAGATCACATGAAATAGTAACAAAGTAGAGTGTTGAATAGTCTCCTGCCTAGGTAGGCAATTCAATGCGAGTATGCAATTCAATGCAAGATCGTTGAAGATTAATCTGATAGGTTTCACGCAGGAAAACAATGATGTAATCGGAGTAGTATAGCGTAAACGATGTAATACATAACTCCTTGCCACGCTATCTGAATAGAAGATCTGGATCAACCGCGACAATACTAATGCATAAGTATTCCAATACCCCTATCTGCACGCTTGGATCATCCAGGTCCAATGACAGCGCAAACAGCCCTCTGACAACGTAAAGAGCAATATGAAGAAGGTGAAAATGTAGATTTCCTTTCTGCAACTAGCTTCATAAGCTTAAAACCAGATTCGACATGCAGCACCCCTGTTCATGCAGTGTCTACCTCCAAAGGAAAACTATTCCAGCCAGACCACCAGTAGCTTCCCTCAGGTCCCTGTGGCCAAATATCATGGAGGAGTAGTATAAGTCTCTCAGGGAGCATGGCTGGGCGCAATTGGTCTCGCCGTATCTCCCGTGCCCTCGTCCCAATCTCATCTGCGCTTCGCGATCTATGATTCTGGGAATTGTATCGCGTGACCAGTATTGACCGCATGAAGCAATCCAGCAAATAACTCTCTTCACGTGAGAAAATGTTGTTCCCAAATCGCACTACACGGAGGCACTGTAGGCGAAACGCCTTACTGGACTTTATCATGTTCCAGAGCCCAACGCATGCTCCTCATCGGTAGCCGCATTGATGAACGTTTTTCGGAGAATGGTTAGGTCTTCTATGTCGCCGTATTTCCGTAGTAGTTCTAGTCGGGCGTCGATTTGAAGAACTAGTACAAGGCTATGAAGATTTGGAAATTCTCCCGGAGCTCTGTATAGTTCACACTCTGCTTGGCTACCCATTGACCTTTGTATCTTTAGTGATATTCTGCCAGTCAAATCATGTCTCTATTTCGCGCGTTACTCGTTAGATTTTTGGATAAGGAATAGTCAGTGATGTTTGATGGAACCTGCCAGTTGGAGAATCCTGAACGTAAACAAAAGGGGACATCTTCTGGCACCTAGAACTTCTTCCTTTTGTTGTCCCTAGATTTAGTCGGTTCGTTGAATGTACCGATTTAGACCTTATCATCTCGCTTGGCTGTATCAGCCTCCGAATGGGAGTGAGGAAAAATCACCCTAGCATGGCCGCCGTAAGCTTCGAGAAAAGGAGAAGAAAGGGGTGTAGAAGGAGAAAAAAAAGGCTACTATAATACTAGTTGGTTCATAGCGAATCAGCTACGTCGACGTCCACTGGACGACGCATCGCCCACGCTGCGTCACCCAAAAGGACATTACGATGGCCCAGCATTGCTATAATGGCACCAGTCTCTTGGTCGCCGTTGAGTGCTTCCTTTCTAGCCTGATTTAGAAGGCGACAATATTTTTTCGGAATCGGGTTGCTGAGCTCATCTAGGTGCACCAATCGGATTTTAACAAGTTTGAATTTCAAAGAAGCCCCTAACTATCTAGCAATTAGTTAACTAGGAAGGGCAATTGACTAATACAGGCAGAATTATAACTAGTATCTCCTTCCTCCGAGTCCCTACTACAATTGGTCCTGCTCTAACATATTTCCCAGTATTAAGATTATGTCATGTGATTTCCCCACCATCCAAGCTTCAACACGATCGGATCTTATCATTTTATACACCTTCATGTCAGCTTATGCGCCTTGCGCTCTCCCGTTATACCCTATTAGGGCATTGCTACGGAGCTTAGTGACCCGAATCCTTTGATCCCATGACCTTCATTTTATCCTATTAATTCTATCCGCTAACCGGCTATTTCCCCACGATGATACGATGAAATCTTGCTATCAGATCTTTCTTTATCCTGCTATGACCTCATAAAAGGCATAAATAACCGCATTTTCCTTTGGCTAGGAGTCAGCTCATATTCCGCCAAGACTATATTCGTATTTTCTAAAATATTCCCTCCTTAGCCGTTTCGTAGGATGTTAACTGTATTCGTGGAATATTCCATTTACTCCAAAGTATATTATCCACCCTCCTTCTTATGTACCGCCCTTGTACGCTGAGAGATGTTAGTTATATATATGCAACTAGTAGAGTTTTATCTAAATGACCAGCTTTTCGAGATTCCTAACTTCCAAAACTCTAATTTATTTCCTATTGCGCGTAAAACGCTAGTTAAAAGTAGAAAAGATGCGACTTAAATAGCGTCTAGTATACTATGTGCGAATTACCCCGGTCATGAGGCTGACATGAGCTGAATCGAAATCCTTCCTAAATCGGCGAAATTCTGACCGCGCTAGCGGCGTGCCCGCTAGCGTGAGAGCCCCAAGAGCTCGTAGCTCGCAATTATAACAGAGGTCGAGCCTGTAGCAACTCGTCCAAAAAGCTAATAACAGACAGAATCTTACGGTTCATACTATTCATACTATTCATACTATTCATACTGAACACTGACTACTGAATACTGACTACTGAATACTGGTTCGAGAAAATGGCACCCCAAGTTCCATCCAATCCAGATGAGGTAATGGTTATCCGAAATGTCACACCTAAGATTGTGACATTGAGCCTGCCTTTCTCGCCTTTCGGTGGTGTTAAGTTTGGAGGCCGTGGGACCCTGGGTATACATTTCTTCCCTCCATGCTACCCAGAGATGGATATTGTATATGCTAGAGCTAACCGTTACCGGTGCATCAATAGTTCGCCTGACTACCGGGTCCATCGCAGTCTTCTCTCCAGTCCCGCTAACGACTCGAGTGCATGAGGCAATTGCCAACTTGGGTGGCGAAATCAAGTATATCGCAGCGTTGAACATTGAACACCACCTGAACCTCACGCAGTGGAAGGCCGCATTCCCAGGTGCCGAAATCATCGCCCCTGAGGGCCTCTGGGAGAAACGGCAAGCCGTCCCAGGTTTCAAAGATACTCCCTTTAGCCATATATTCCGCGCCGATGCACCCCCGAAGATATCGGAGGAGTTCGAAAACGAATTCACCGTGGAATACGTCCACAGCCATCAATCGAAAGAACTAGTTTTCTTGCACAAGCCTTCGAAGACGGTCATTGAAGCTGATCTAGTTCTGAACTTGCCAGCGATAGAGCAATATTCGCGAACAGGCGAAAGTGCAACATCTGGCCTCTTGAACAAAATATTGAAGCCTCTGGTGTCCACGGAAATGTCAGCATTCTGGCAGAAAAAATTTGTGTGGCATGTTTCCTCCATGGCAGACCGTAAAGGCTTCAGCGCCTCGGTCCAGCGCATTATGGCTTGGAAGTTTGACCGGATAATCCCCTGCCATGGCGATGTTATCGAGCATGATGCCTGCACAGTGTTCATGAATGTGATGGCGCCATTATTAAATACTGCTTAAATGTGACTTCTTCTATCTTGTAATGTCTTTTGAATCAATTTTAACATTAAGCTAAAACCTATCTAGAAATATAGTTTTAACGTATCGAGGGTTGAAAGCAGACCCGCCCTACATTTACCGGCTATAGTTAAGGGGGGGTCCGAGCTACGTATCGAGCTCGATATCCATACCCCTATAGGAGAGGATAGGGGAATCTAACGTAATTCCCGCCCGACCCGATCACCCGCCCGTCTCGATCACCCCATCGAAAATCGCGTCCTCCTACCAACCTACCAATTTCAACTAACTACCATGACACTAATTCGCCCTGAATCTGGGCGGAAACTAGCCAATCAAGAGGGCAAGATCCTATTAGCCCTTTCTAATATCAAAAACGATCGTATCCAATCTCTTCACGCAGCGGCAAAGGTATACGATATACCTTACACTACCCTCTATACGCGCGTAAGCGGCCTACCTTCACGCGTGGATAAGCGCCTATCTAGGTATAAATTAACCTAAATCGTAGAAGATTCGCTTACCGAGTAGATAATCTCTATAGATACGCGAGGGGTAGTCCCTAAGCCCTCTATAGTGCGAGATATAGCTAATATCTTACTAGCTACGCGTGATAACTAACTACTAACTACTATTAATAAGGATTAGTTATTAACCTTCGTTAACCGCCGCCCTAAGCTTCGTACACGCTTCTCACGAAGATAGGATTACTAAAGAGCCCTAAACGAAGATCCAATATCGCTTCGCTAGTAGTTTACGACCGTATAGCGTATAATCGATAAGAAGGGTATATAACTGGAGGATATCTATAATTTTAATAAGACTAGTGTCAATATGTGGATGTTGTGAGGTCACATGACCAAGGACCCACTCATATAACCGCTCTCTACGTCAGAGAAGAGAAGAAGAATCTATAAAGCGAAAGCTAAGCTTTTATACTAAGGTAGTAGGTCTGGTAAGGGTAGATCCTACTAAGACGCGTCGCTAAGACGTGGCGTGATCTATAATAATAACTAATCCCTATAGGCACAACAGTGATTACAAATCGATATATCTCCGATCAGGGACTGGCAGAGCAAGCCCTTGTATTATCCATTGATAGAAGTCAAGAGCCGATTTCCCTTTATTCCTCTGGATCTCCTGCAACTGCTGGGTCAGATTCGGGGATTCCCTCTATCTCAAAGTGTGCTTCTTCGATGGCCTTGAATTAAGCCAGGTACGTGGAAACTTGGGCATCGCGAGATTCTTCTTCAGTACTAAGGCCGTGTGGAAGCTAGATGCTGAAGAGGTTCTTCGAAGGCGTAACCTCACCACTCGGCACTAGTGTAATATGGCTGATTTATTCCCTTACTAAGGAGCAAACAGAACGAGTACTAGTCTATACCCACTTAAGTATAACAGCACGAGTGGCGAATCTTTACAAGAAAGAAACATCGCGACACCTCAAAGATTGTGTATAAAACACGCCTACAGCTAAGCAAATTTGCACGAAGCCATTTTCTTCGCGAAGTAATAGCCTAAGACATCGGGCCTAGCGGGAGAATAAGGATCAGTGCCAGCACCAGTGACAGCGCGGTTCACGTTACGGAAGACAACAACCGAGCCCTATAGGACAACCGAATATTCCTACATAAACCACAACCGACAATCGATCACAACACGTAGACAGGCCTGATCATGGATTATACGCTCAACCTAGACGATCGAGGGAAGCAGCTAAAGCAGCAGGCTCGGCGCGAATTTTTGCAGTGGAAACACGGCAAAGTTCTGTTCTGTGGAGCGGTCACAGGTAGTTCTAGTCCCTTACTCTCACTTCCTTCGTTTCAGGGCATTACTCTGTAGGACAACGTAGAATAGTCATAGCAATAACTAGCGCCAGCAAACGACGAACGCCGAGGCTATATCCCTTAATCAGTGGAATCGATATAATCGCAATCCCCGGGTGGATTATTGTGACGCTATATCGAGAACGGCTGAAAGCCTCTGAAAAACACATTGCCTTATGCTAGGAAGCTTTTTGTTAACGATATCTACAAGCCAATGATTTCGGATGAGTATAATAAGACACTAAATAGATCTTGTCATCTCGCTACCCTAAAATATCCTGTCCTATTCAGCTATGGCTTCTGTCTGTTCCGTACTATCGATCCGCACGTGCTCCAACGAGTGAATTGTCCTCTTAACCCTGGAAGAATAAGCCAACAAATTACCCCGTAGAGAGAATTCCAGCGCGGTCACATAAAGACGCCTCAACTAGAGCTTTTGTACTATTGTCGATATGCTTAAGTCCCAAATTTGAATCCACCCACTACTATCCCCAGAGGACAAGAAGGACCCATCTGACGAGAACGCGAATACAGTGACGCTCGAGGAATAGCCTTCAAGTTTGACATCGGCAAGAGGGCCAATCACCTTGACAGTTAAGTCTTTAGACGCTTTTACAGAACTAGCCGTCAGGAGTGAACCTGAGTGCGTTGATGGAGGTGTTATGAACAAAGGGGCCCACGATTTTGGAAGCCTCGTTTGAGTATGCTACCGGTTTTCTCCCTTCTTGCCTACTCTCAAGTGGGAGCCATCGGGCGAAAAGTCCATTCAGGCAATACTCTTTTTAGTGTAGCCCGATAATTTAGCCGCGCCGTTACTCGAGTAGATTCATATACTATGCCCTGTTGTGGTGGCGATCCAGTCTGAGTTTGGGTCATATGCCATTGACTTTAGTAGGTGGGGGGATGATCCAGGACATGCTTCCATCTCTGTTCCAGGCTCATCCAGCATAACGTGTAGGACGGCAAAGTCGAGAAGGCAGAACAGCCTCAGCTTCCGCGAAATGACGACTTTCCGGGGTTTCCCCCGGGTTGGAACTTTCCAATCTCTGTCCCGGTTGATATGTCCCAGACTCGGACGGTACCATCTTCTGACCCTGAAACAAGGCGCTCTCCATCAGAGATAAATGCGAGAGTATTGACCCAGCCAGAGTGACCACGTAGTGGAGCGATTAATCTCCACACGCTAGATTTATCTACCCCTATAAGGTTAGCCAGTTACTAAGCGTGCTGCTGGGTTTACTCGTGAAATTTCTTCTGCCACTTTACCTCGACTTGCTTCTCTAGATTCTTTGAGAATGAATCAAAGTTAAGGTAGATGTCACCTTGAGCATCCTCAAGCTTCTGCATTTTGGCTTTATATTCATTAGCGGCAGCCTCAATCTCTCTTTTAAACCTTGCCCACTCCTGGGCGAGAATTTTCTCAAGCTGAATTCCGGCACTCATCTCGTCTAGAAAACTTATGGTCATCCACCATCTCCTCCTATATGGACAAGACAATCGTTGGTTCTGCCAGCTCCAGAAATTCTCTGACTAGAGCTACCGCCGATTTCCGAGTATTATCATGACGAAACATTCTGCTGCCTTTCTGGAGCATAAAGCCCCACCATTGAGGCATCTCCTTCAACTTTTTTCTCGACTAATAGCCACATCGCGCGCCACGGTGTCCCACATAGATGTCACAAGAACAACGTTTGAAAGAGCCCGGCCGCCGCACAATTTCTTGAATATAGAAATATTTCTTTTTGCCGTTCCCGTCATGCGTACTTTATCTGTACTATAGAAGTGTATTATACCCGTCGGTTTAATTTGGTTTGAGTATGTGTGCGTTAACCAGGCAGCAATTTCCCGCAGTACTTCAGTGTCGCTAAGGTTACTGTCGTCAAAGCCCGGGGTATCAATAAGGTATAGTTTATTATTTAGAAATAGATAGCTTTCGTAAACTGCGACCGATTTTGTGCATAATTCCAGGTTGTGTCCGATTTCCAGATTTTACTCGGCCAAGAGGGATACAAAGGAGCTTTTCCCTGATCCTGTCGCGCCCATAACCGCTATGTAGATGGTACGGGGTCTAATTTCGATTAGAAAGTATATATATAAGGGCAGATATCTAGGTAATTTTCACGCTTCGTCCTGGTTTATGGACCGTCTTCCGCTAGAGGACCGGAGGCTCATTCCTGCGACTCTATCACGTTCAGGCGATATCTATATACGAGGGGAAAGGACTATACAGCACTAATAAATCAAAGTCGATCGCTCAAACAAACTAGTAGACAAGTTAAAGGAATTTAGCTTTTTTTCTACTTTCATCTACCCCGCATTACGGGGGACTAGCCAAGGTTGAGCTGGCCACAAGCCTGAGTCGGTAATTTTTAAACCAGCAGGATCTCAATTTTGGCTATTTTAATTTATGGTTATCCCATCTTGTGGTATGCAAATAAGAAGTTGAATATAAGGGAAACTCCCTTAGAAGACGTCTAATATAAGCTAGCTGCTCTAAGCTTAGTAGTTAGGTATCCTAGGCAGGGATTCGGTTACTATAATATTCTGTTAAGAGCCTCTTCGCAGATAGGTACCTTCCGAAGGGAGCCAGGGGTTTCCCCTAAAAACGGTAGCGAGCCGGCCGTTACCCATCACCTATTCGGAGGCGAACCTCAAGGGTTACCGTTAGCTACGTTTCTAATTACACAACCTTTTAGCTCAGGCGCCCTTTCGCTTATTGATCCCACTTATACTTTTCTGTTTTCTATAAGAAGACTATATATAAATTCATATTAGGAGTGATAGGTTTTGACTCGTTAAGGCATAGCCTTATCATAAATTCACAAGGTGGTTTAGACTTTACCTGATCAATAGGCTTTCTACTCCGAAAGTAGATATCTTTATATTAGCGATTATAACGTGACTGTATTCGAATATACCGCGTTAGTATATATTCTACTAGTAAATAAGGCTATAGAGAGTGTCACCTAGCCACGTGGGATAAGCCTACAGTAGGTAGTATAAGATGTAATAAGGGTAGAGGGCGGAAGAAGAAGCGGCGAAAGTACTTAGTAGATTTAGGGATATAGCCATCTTAACCTTACTAGTCTGCCGTAGCCCAAATACCTACTAATATCCGAAGAAGTAAGCATAGAACGCGTACGTGTATCCCCTTACCTAGCTAGGCGCTAACTAGTTAGTGCCCTTTTTCTGCCGTAAATAATAACGTCCCGGACGATGTTATTTACCTAAATAGTCAAGTGATTCGAGTGCTCCAAAGTAAGCCACCAATAAGCACGGTGCCCGGTCGGGGCACAATCATTAAACTTAATCACGACTAACGTGTCTATTAAATAAGGCGCCGGAGAGATACGTATAAGGCTCTTTTCCTCCTATCCCTTCTTTCTGCGGCCTATTGTCTCTGAAAGCACGCCTCTCCCTCATTCTGAGACTCGCTATAACATCCCCGAAAACATTTACAGAGCAAGTAGAAAACATTTTGAAGTTTATAAAAGCCAAGGCAGGAGAGTAAGTATATATATTAAGGACAATGCGCCGCTATCTCGTATCTCCAGTCAGTTAGTGGCGAGCAAAATTGACAAAACCAAAAAGGCCCAATGCAATCTTCATTCTTGTCCTTAGTGCAAAGGGGAGCGGCAAGACCACATTTATCTCGTAATATAGCCGGAAACACATAGATATTGGGCACGATCTATCATCCTATAAGGCTTCTTTCTTAGTATCATACCTTTGATTCCGCTGTTCCACATCTCACAGAAACTCGCTTACAACATAAAATCGGGCACCTCTAAGCTCTCCGTAACTTCTTTCCTTTTTTTCATGTCTGCGTCCTCCATCAAGCAATTAATCGGAAGGAAGCATACGAGAATGTTGCTATAGTTACAAGCATGTGGTCTACTCCAGTGGTAGACCAGCAGACCCGGCGAGAGAATGATTTGATACACGGGGATGGCATCTTGGCAGAGATTCTGGAAGGAGGAGGGCGAGCATTTCGCTTTTCAATTCTTGTTACAGATATAAGGACAAGGGGAAACCTTCTTGTGACTGCCCCTGTGAGAGTATCTTGTTGATAAGGCGAAATCTGGGCCAATTGCGCTGGAACTACAGCATGAATTAGTAGATTTCAAGATGATACTGATTGACACATCAGTGGCGATGCTAATGCGCGAGAGCCAGAGACTGGGACTGCAAAATGAGCTTGAAGCTGCGATACAGGCAACTCAGGATATGTTCCAAACCCAAAATATCTTCGCTCGCCGGGAGACTGAGTTAAAGGAACAAAAGCCTCAGGTAGGAAGGGAGTTTTTTCGAGCGGGAGAAGAGGTTAGAAGAGAAATATGCATCACTTGCGAACAACATCGTCCAGATTCACCATAATGAGGAACGCCGGCTATATGAAAAGATGGAGGAGATAGGAAACGATTTGAAGACGAGAATGAAACAGAAAGAGCAGGATCTGAAAGAAATTCATCGACGAGAGAAAGCCCTATCCACCGACCTCGAGATCATTCGGCTTCGGAAGGAAATTCAGGAACTACGGCTCCAGATTCAGCAGAAGCAGGAGACCAATAACACTATCCGTCAATTCTTTAAGAGAGCTCTACTTCAAAGCGCCGCGAGTGGGGTTCTTAACGGCATAGTTTCTAGAGGTAAGGCATGGCCATCACCATTAAGAGAATGATGATAAGCGGTTCATATTGATCAGCCTAATCCAGGTCAGAAACTAACTTAGTTGTACTAGAACTCTAGAGTCAAGACTCGCTTTGGACTAGAGCGGGACTCCAATCACAAACCAGCCAAACCCATCGGGCCCCTCTCCACCTTCTTCTCCCTCTTCCCTCCTTCTCTCCCTTTTGCTAATTCCATAAAGTGGTCCCAATATTTTTGCGGGCTCTTTGTGCTGTGTGATGTAAATCCAGTGTTTGTAATACAGCCATGTGGGCTTTTTGCTGTCGATGTCCACGTCACGGACCTAGATATACATAGACGTGATGAGATTGGAGATAAATTAGTGTGAATGAAATTAGTGGCCCGATTATATGCGTAAACTAATCGCTAGGGTTCTAATACCATACGTGGTATTACATCGAGCTCTATAGACCATATATACAGTTTCTTCGACCACCTATACGTGAGAGGGTCATAACATTACCTTCCTCTAAAGCCTACGTCCTCGTAGGCCTAAGTGAAGCCACTTTCTTTTAAATCCTTTCACGTCCTGTAGGTAAATTTAGGTTCTTTATGAGACGGATATTAATGGGATATTCTTAGTAAACTTATTCAGTAGCTTACCTCAGGTAGACCTCCTCGCCCTCTTAATCTTATACTATTAAACCATTATTTCACACATAACCATAGAGTTGGAAGACAAGGCTTCCCGTCCGCTCAGCTGTACTAAACTACACGCCGGCCAGTTAGTATTATGCTGGGTGACCACATGGGGATCCTCGCTATTATATATTTTATTGAAATTAGTAATGGATATACTTTCAGTACTGCCTAGGTTCTCGTTGAAGAATGGTCGCACGATTGGGATGTTCTATTTCACATGATATACATCGCCCCGACCTAGAAATACCCCGACAGATACAAGGAATCCACTCATTGCCAATCTGGATCCTTAGCTCTTCTCTGATCTAGTTGTAATAAATAGTCCCATCGCCATAGAGGGTTGACCCAGTCACGGGGGGTATAACAACGCCCGCCGCCACTAAGTCACTCACGAGATTGAAGATCATGAGATCGCAACCATGAGGCGCGATGAAATCAACCGCCACGGGCAGATATTCCTCCTGCTCGGTAATGGTAGAGTTGTATTTGGCTTGGCCGACTATAATCGAGCCATAATTAGTGTCATGTAGGGGTTCCAGAGACCGGGCTCACTTACTGGGAACTACCATATCAGGAACACCGGCAAAGTTGGCAATACGAGAGGCTGAGAATCCCCTTGGAATCCCAGGCATGCTGCGATACGCGTTTCGATATATCGGAGTCGCACTCGCACCCACATACAGAATCAAGCTGTCTGAACATGTCTCTGCATCAAAAACTTGCACGGTGCTATTCCACCAGGCTGTAAATATGTCCTTGTTCTTGATTTCCGTTTCCAGCTGGGATTCGGGATACTCCAATCCCCAGGTCCAGCGAGATAACGGCACAGGGTCAATAAAAGGTTTGCGGCCACCATTCGCTGACGCATAGTCGTTATAAAGTGGCTCACCAACGAGTGGAAATTGCTGCTTCGAGATGAGAATGGGATAAGTGATGTTCAACATGGTTTCTAGTGTTGTATCAGCGGATACGCTTGACGGCTTTGTAGATTCCCAGAGAGCGTCATAGTCCAGAGCAGTCACATTTGCACCCCCTAAAAAGGAGCATAGGCTGGAGAGAAAGTCCAGAATAATACCATATGCTTCAGTAGAAGCGCTGGCGGGAAAGCCGATGGTTTTGATGGTTTTGGGGTACTTGGTGTAAGACTTCAACTCAGCGCCTGCGTAGAGAACCTCGGATGCGGCCCTCCAGAGCTTCGCATCCCGAGTGAGAAATCCAGCTGTGTCAAGGAGAGGGGACATGGGCATCACGTTCTCTAGCGACACGAGATTCCACGATGGGCGGTTCCCGAAACAACCATTCACTTGAGATGGGTTACGAATGGAGCCACCGGTGTCACTCCCAATAGCGATATCCAGCCACGGATAAGCACCGATGCCAGACCCGGGGCCTGAAGAGGATGAGCTGGGATCCTGATATCCATCTCCTCGTGCATTGAACGGAGAGTGATAATCAACCCAGTCATCCGTGGCCGTCTCTCCATTGGCAAACTGGCTTGTCTTCATCTTGCCTACAATGACGGCACCAGCATCGATCAAAGACTGAATAGCCGGACCAGTAGTATTGGCAGCAGTATAGGTCTCGTAGTAGGCGCGGTTTCCGCAGCCAGTCTTGACGCCTTTGATGTCATAAATGTCCTTCACACCAAGGCGGACTCCTGCGAGAGGCTGCTTTATTGTCTTGGTGAAATAAAGACGGGACGGGACGCCAATGGTTAGAGAGGCATATCCCGAGAGGCTTGCCGTGAGTACATTGTAGGAGCCATCTCCTACCGCATAGAGGCCCTGTGTGAAGGATCCCATCACGTCGGAGTACAGCAAATACGCCTCGAATACATCACCTGTAGTCCCGTCCAAGAAGTATGGCCCTGAAGGAATACTCTTCGAGCACGTTGTTGTCTTCTTTGTGCTATATGCGGCGGAAAAGCCTAAGAATTTATTCCCCCAACTCGATGGAAGAGTGACGTCTTCAATTGGCTTCTTGCTTGTGCCATTGTATGCGACGTAGATATCTGTTCCAGTTAGCTGAGCCCAAGGAAATGAAAAAAGAAAGATTTTACTATTTCATACTTTCAAGGAACCCGGTATTGAAAACGTCATCAGCTGCTTGGTAGGCATTCACAAGGTTCTTAATAATTGAGGTCGTGAATTTTGAAACATCACTCTGGATGACTGTTAATGGAACTAGGCCAGTGTCCTGGCTCAATCGACCACTGGAAACCTTAAGGGTTGTCACCGCAGTGGCAGGCACGTAGTAGAAATTGCCATTGACTTCAATGGTCTGACCTTTGGAGATGCTGGAGGCTGCAACAAGCGTAGACAGCAATGACAGAAAAGCTGTCAGACCAAAGCGAGCCGCCGAACCCATCTTGCTTTCCAAAGTCGACCGACATTTCCCTGTTAATATATACCTGACTGTGTCTATTGATTCTGTAATAAAATTATGTGTCATCAAATCTGGTTCTATCTTCGCTATCTAGAGCAATCTGGATCCTCGTTATCTAGGACAATCTGGATAGATAAGACATTTATATGTATTAATTACAGCCCAATTAAGCGAGATATCTGCACGGGCTCCAGATGAGGAAAGACCCACTTGAACGGAATGTTTTATTAGTATGTTCTTCAATGGGAATGGTCTGTAGCTACTAGCCTATGATAATCTTCTAGCGGCATGAGGCGTGCCTGTCTTCCCTTGAATCTTGCATATCTATCCGATCCATCCCGCATGTCGCTTTTCGGCAACTATTCAATGTTAGCCAATCGGGCAAAACAGCGATTCGCTGTGACGGGGCACCTACCTTAGAGGAGAGCCGGTGATAAAGTCATATGTGAATCCTGGGAGAAGAGAATACGGCTAATCATCAGAATCCTCGAAAGGAAGCTATCCCCTTCACCGTCGCGGGAGGCACAATTAGCGTATACCAGTTAGTGTATTTTATCAGCCAATCAACTAGTCGGATAGAATCTACGATCTTTCATTGGCTATAATCACCCCACTACCTACCACGCGTCTTTCTTACTACGCGTTTCTACCCCCTAAAGCAAGAAGCCTACCAATTCAACCACCAATTCAACCACTAATTCAACCACCAATTCAACCACCAATTCAACCACTAATTCAACCACTAATTCAACCACTAATTCAACCACTAATTCAACCACCAATCTATCTATCTATCTATCTATCTACTATGGCAAAGCAGAAATCCACTACATCTACACCTAAGCGTAAGCTTGACGAGATTATCGCCGAATTACCTACGAAAGAAGAGCTCTCTAGTCGGCTACAGCTACTAGACCCAACCCATCAACCTCCACGCCTACAACTACCGAATACCCTAGACCTAGAGAGCCCATACGCAATCTTTACACTCTTTATCAGCGAAGAGATCTTTGAATATATTAGCCAGTCTACCAATCAATACACACAGCTAGCTAGAGATTCAACTAGAGATTCAACTACAACTACTACCGGCCGGTCTTGGAAGGACACTACCCCTATAGATATTAAGGTCTTCTTTGGTATCCTTATCTATATGGGTATTAACCCTTCACCCAGTGTTAATCAGTACTGGAAGCAGAACCGACAAGAAGGACCATTACATACACCTCCACTCTATATGGCCCTTACGCGACTTGAACAGATCAAAAGATATCTACACGTTAACCGGCCAGACAATCCAATGGCTAATAAGCAGTGGTGGTATAAGATTGAGCCACTAGCTTCATCCTTCGAGAAGGCAAGCCGACAGTACTATCAACCAGGGTCTAATATCTCTATTGATGAGACGATGATTCGCTGTTTTGGAAGAACCAATCATACTATCAAGATGCCGAATAAGCCAATTGAGAAAGGATATAAGATCTTTGTCCTTGCAGAGCATGGCTATATATGGACGTTTACCTGGACTAGCCGTCTATGGGGGATTGCGGATCTATTTAAATCTAATGGGCTTAGTCCTACTGGATCGATGGTTTTACAGATGATCAAGAAGCTTCCTGGCCTAGCGAATCAACCGATCGATCAACCTAGCAATCTGCCTAGCAATCTGCCTAGCAATCTTGCTGGCAATCCTACTGGCAATCCTACTGGCAATCTGCCTAGCGATCAATCTAGCGATCCCCTAGCTAATTCAACCGGCGATCTTATAGCTATTTCAACAGCTAATACACCAGCAGAGTATATTATCTATATGGATAATTACTTCACGTCGGTCGCCCTTTTCAAAAAGCTTAGAGATCTACGATGTGGTGCATATGGTACTACACGCCCACGTAGTGGGATACCTTCTTAGCTTATTGAGCTAAAGGACTATATAAAGACAATCTAATGGGGTACTTTATATAGATCTGAAGCTCAGGGGGTTCTCTGCCTTGCATAGCAGGATAATAATATAGTATTACTACTATCTACTATCTATTCGCCAGAGCTATTTATCCCTACTAAGCGGAAGCGGCCATCAACAACCTCTACCAACGCAATAGTTGCGCGTCTTCCTTTTGGTGATGAGGTTATAAAGGAGCTCGAGATTCCTACTGCTATCAACGACTAAAATCACTATATGGGTGGTGTAGATATTGCAAATCAGTACCGAGCTACCTATGAGACTCATCAACGAAGCGAGCGTAATTGGTTACCTCTTCTATTCTTCTTTATTGACGCTGCGATTGTTAATGCGTGGCGTCTTCAATATCTCTATAAGAAGCAACAAGGTAGTAGGCTACCTACCCACCTAGGTTTCCGCCAGAAGCTCTATCAAGAGCTCTTTACCTTTGGTCTACCACCAAGACCAACACCAAAACAGCAAAACCACCAGCAAAACCACCAGCGAATTCACTTCGATAAGCAGATAGCTTGTGTCTGGTGTCAATATAAGAGACAAATCGGCAAAAGGGGCGAACGTACCAACCGAACAAGATCTGGTTGCCTAGATTGTGGTAATGTGGCTCTATGTTTAAAAGGGCCCTGTTGGGACGAATTCCACACAGTACCTAATTAGGTTATATTAATACACTAAATTCTGATTACCGGTATGTTACTGTAGCTAGCCAATTATAACGTGTTAATACAACACACTAGTAAACCGCGCTAATTGTGCCTCCCGCGACGGTGAAGGGGATAGAGAGAGAATTGTCCAAGAAAGAGATATAAGCAGCATAATAGAGAACTATCGATCGTAAATTTAAGGGCTTTGGTGTTTTCAGGGAGAATAGAAAAGAGGATAGCTCGTTAATAGTGTAAATGGTGATTTAGTAGAGAGATTACCTACCCCAGTCCATGCGCCGCGAATATACACGAATACCGCACGCTATAAAAGGTTAATTCCATTGTTTATTGTTTACATTAAGTATGTTATTTTACAAAAACCTATTATTTATTAATGAAGGCATGGTTGTGGCGATCAGCGGTAGTAGGAAGTTGATGGATGAGGCAGGTTATTACGTTGGAAAGTTTTTTTTTTCTTTACTTTAGAAGTTGGACCACACTCGGTAGCGGGAGGATTGAGAGATAGAGGGGCTGACAGTTGATTGGGCAAAGGCGAGCGGGGTTGTGTCGGCTTTCGGGCTATCTCACGCGGACTTCTGAGGTGCTATCATGGGGGAAGAATAAAGGACCACCCCGCACTGTATACCTACCCCAGGTTTAAACAATTGCATTCTAACTAGGGAGGCAAGAGTTATTAAACAGAATGTCGAGAACTCCAACCAATCATATCCTCTATGCCAAGGAAAGCAGCAGGCTGCCGGAGCTCTCGGTTGCATGTACCAACTGTCGCAGCCGCAAACTGCGCTGCTCAAGGGAAGCACCCGCATGTCAACACTGCCGCAAAACTGGTCAGCCAGAACATCCATACTATCCTCTGTTTATGGTAATCGAGTTCATATAACGTTCGCTAATTCCACGCTGACACAGGGAGCGACTGTACATACGATCCCAAACGGTCGAAGCCGGGCATTAAATCCGGAGCTATTGAAAATATACACCGACGGCTAGGTATGATGATCAAGTGTGATTTCCTTGGCGAATTTGGAAGTCCTTGTAAAAATTGCTGACGAGGCTCACACGTCCACCACTAGATCGTCTAGAAGACTTTGTTATCGACCGCCTCGGAGATGATAAGCCAGACGAGTCCAATAGACAAACACAGCCGGGTGAAAACGAGTCCACACCATGCTTTGCTTTGTCTGTGCTGGCACGGGAGCTTCAAAAGTTCAACGGCAAGCTGGCGCCCGCGACCGATGATCGCCCAAGTAAACGGCAACGGGTGGACGAGCATGTCGACTTTTCTCAGTCTGCGCTACTAGATATCGACCGCCGTTTAGTACTTGCTCTGCTCAACCCGAACACTATTGATGTTGTTTTGCAGACATACTTCAAGCATATCCATCCCTGGATTCCTCTAGTACACGAGACCAGTTTGCGTCGGCGACTTCGTGATCCAAGACACAGATCCAAGCTTGATGTCTTGCTGCGAGCCATAATATTAGTATCTACAAGATTCATACAGCAGTACGAGGCCGTATCTGACATTTGCCTGGCTGGCCTGTCCACGAACCAAGCCAGGAGTCTGGTCGTTTCGGATTCAATGGATTGCCTGAAAGTTGAAAATATCCAGGCCCTCGTAATTTGCGTGTTTAATGATGTGAGATCTTCTTTCTAGATGAACAACACCTGTTCCAAGTCACAAAATATTTTGAATTACGTTGGCTAACTAAATATTTAGATCGGAAATGGGTGGGGGGAAAAGGCATGGTCCCTAGTCGGGTCGCTGACACGGACAGTCGAATACTTGAAACTTACAGTCGAAGACGAAGACTACCAAGGCCGTACGTCAATTTCAAGACCTTTTGTATATCTCTCCCCTCCAGAGAGCTGGGTCGAGGCAGAGGAGCGACGGAGGGTGTTCTGGACCGTATTCAATCTCGACCGATTTTGTTCCGTGGCTATGGGCTGGAACACTAGCCTCACTTCGGACGATGTTCACCGCCGTCTTCCTTGCGATGGAGTCCACTGGAGAAGAGATAAACCCAATGTTACAGCTTTCTTTGGCATCTGGGAGAAGTCAGCAAGTCGAATGGGAAATCCGATTACCTTCTCTCCGGGCCATTACGTGTCTCCGCAACGTACAGTGGCCGATAACGCCTATGCAGCGAGTCCAAATGAAGGCTACGATCCTGCTTTATCACCAGATGATCCTTTGGTCTCTGCGATTGGGGCTTTTGCCTACCGTATTGAAGCAACTGAGTCGCTGAGCCGCGTCACGACTTATTTTCTTCAACAAAAGGTTGACATGAGCCGCCCAGATAATGTCACAAGTTGGCTCACACGGTTCAAGGAACTGGACCTGCGCCTTGTGCACTGGAAGATGCTCCTACCAAAAAAGTGGAAGGCTCTCAGCCCTGCCAACACTGCCAACACCGTCGTCTGTCCTCGCGAGAGCGCCAATCAGAACGGCTCGCTTAGTGGCAGTGGAGGAGTAACGGGAGGTGAGGAAGATGCCAAAAGCCAAATAGTAGTGATGGACCCAAATCTCACGCTGGCACACATCACCCACAATGCGTCCATGATTCTCTTACATCAACCTATCGCGTTTCCACCCCATGAATGGACTTTCCGCAGCCGCCTGCCCAGTAGTTGCTCTGCAGAGACATGTCAGCAGGCAGCTTTTGAAATCGCCACTATCACTGAACAATATCTAAAAGTGTCTCCACCAACCTTCCCCTTGTATCCCCAGTTTTCATTTTGCGTCTATGTGGCAGCCCGACTCTTGCTAGCCTACGAAACCAATCACAGCATAGAGATTCACCCTCTGCACTCCAGATCGGTCATAGATGACAGATTCTGGGCGCTAGTTAGCAGCCTAGATGAGATGTCGCGTCGATGGAACGGACACGGTATAGCGGTGCTAGAGACCATGACTTTTGGCGAGGACCTAGCTGCAAAGTACGCGTTAAAACTAAGGGAGATGAAAGATATGTGTATGCAGGATTTGGGTTACAGAATAAGTGTCTTGGATTACATGCAAGATATCGACCATTCCAGCAGGAAGACCGACCCAATTATGGATTATGCAGTGGCTTCGTCTACTATCAATGACCCGACCCGACAGTCATATCAAAATACAGAGGCACGACCAGAGCACAAGTCCCGGGATGGCGGACGGTCAATAGGAAATGAGCAGAACGTGAACCGCTCCAATACGGAACAGGCCACGTCGGTGCCCTGTCCCTCATCACCATTAGAGCTATCCAGAAACCCTACCGACCATTATCAGAAGGTTTATGGGCAAGCAACATACTCTCCAGAAACGGATGAAGCGTCCCGCGACCTGGGTGTTATTTCGGATATGTTGCTGGGCCATCAATTCATGGATCTGGACCGGATCATCAGTTTCGATAACGGAATGTTCAGTGCCAGTCCAGACCAGCCTTGGTAAAGCGAATCATATAGGGCGTCAGATAACATATATGTGGATCTGTGTATTCTAAGTCGGTATATCACGCTATATGAAAGTCTAATATCTAATTATGCACTTGCTCCTTCGCAACCTTGCATGGTCCTATACTAAGCCCATGCGCATGAGTTCGTTACCAAACTTCAACAAGTAGTAATCACCATACACCAGTCCGTGATTCGCATAACGCTTCCTTGCATTCTCATTGTTGTTAGCCGTCCCATGCTTAAGGATCGCATCGAACCGCTTTCCTTGCACAACGTCTTCAACAGTCAGGCCCTCTTCCAACTCATTTCCTTCTCCCCCGGGAATGAACGGAAACCGTGCAGTCTCCCTCGAAAGTGAATAGTCCAGTGTACCTCTCATCAACTCCACCGCCGCATCAAAAAACCTCGCCGCAAGCGTCTTCTCTCTCTCTGCAATCAGCCCCTGCGACAACACTAGCAGCCCATTCGCTGCAATGACTGCCGCACTAGAATCCCGCACGACCTCCTCGTCCTCGCCATTGCCCTTGTCTATCGGAGCATCAAAGTCCCATGGTGGGGATGTGTAACGCAAGTTCTCAGGTCCAGCACCACCCGCAACAGGGTGCGTCTCCAGTCTATGCAGAAAATACTCTGCCGTGCCGCAGGCCACGTCAAGAAACTCCCTATCCCGGGTCCACGAGTAGGTCTGCGCATACCCCAAAATTGCCCAAGCCTGACCACGAGCCCAGGTAGACCCATCCGCGTATCCCTGGGCTGTCATACGACGTTTAATAGCGCCAGTCTTCGGGTCGATACATGTCACATGGTTTGTAGAGTATAACTGGCCATTATATCTCCTGAATTTCGTTTGTGGGGGCTGCGGTTCCGGATGCAGGTGTGTGCGAATCACAGTGCGGGCATGGGCAACGGCCATCTCCGCGAGGTGTGGGGATGAATTTTGAGCGGCGGCATAGAAGAGTAGGTCAAGATTGCACAAGGAGTCAATGATCACGATGAGGTTGGTACTCATATCCGTGATCTGCGTGTCCTTCCTAATCAAGAGATCCCAGCTACGGATAGCGTTCGCGGAGGCGACGTACCTCGTTGCCAGGCTGTTGGCCGCCCGGACAATGGATGCCAGACTCCGGGGGTTTCCAAAAAGCTCCCAATCCTTCCGCAGGGCAGGCATGACAATGAACCCTATATCGTGTGTGTCCGTCCTTCTGGCCATGTCGTGCAATGGCTCTGACCATTTTTCACACATGGCGCGGAGCAGCCCTCGTCTTTTGTGTGGCGATGAATGAAGCATTCGCACAGCTGACTGGGGATAGTGGACTGTCCGCTCAAGCAGCTCATACAGGGACCCGGGAAAGAAGCCACATGTCCAGAATGTTGCCTCACGGAGGTGGTACCGACTTGGTTTCTCACCGTGCGTGGGGTTCTGGGGCACGTATTCGGGAAATGAGTTTGGGAACTTCATCGCAATTTCCTCGGCTGTCGCCCCAGTGCAAGGGAGCGACTCGCATGCAACCCGCCATACCTTCGCCATGACATTCTCGGCAAAGAGTTCTGAAAGTTGTTCCCTTAAATTCGGCACTGTTCGTGAGACATTCGTCTGCAGGCAAGGGACCTCGATGATTTCATCGACAGAAGTAGCCCTATTGGATAAGGCTGCGTCAGCTGAAGAGGACGATTTCGATAACAACGCCTCAGATGCCTCTGGGCTGGACATCGACCCATAAGAGTTTGTGATAGTTTCTGTGACAGACATTCTTGCGTGGTGGGTTTTCCAGAGAGAACAATTGTGAGTGCACTGCTACCGAAGGGATTTATCCGGAAATGTGGCTGGAGCGTCGGTCATGTCGATGTAGTGCTAGCTCTGGGGCTTTTATGGAATCCACAACTGCGACTGTCCGTCCGGCCGCTGTATATCAACCGACATTCAGAATCCTTACGTCAAGCATAATGCTCCACGCTGTACTTCTGCCATATCCATCCCCGATGCCAATCATCCGACGGCTGTTGCGCTACTGTGTGCCTTTTGTGGCGTCATAGTTGAATCTCAATCCCAGTTTGCGGGTTTAAATTCTCCGGGGTAGATTGGCCGAGGTCCGCGCCTGTTCTCCCGAGTTGCCAGGCAACACGAACCCCACGTTTGTCTTTCTACATACAACTAGCTAAGCAATTTGACGTCTGTATCGGACATGAAGTTGCTACTATACTCTAGTCTTGTATCGGTTTCCTCCGAACGCTGGAGTCTATTTAGAGGTTGTAGTATCCAGATCACGGTCTGATTGCGACCCTGTTTTCTCTGGCCATAGTTATCCTCTCATTGGAATTTTAACCCAGTATCGGAAACCATACGCATAACATGGCCTCGGGTATCAGCACGGCCACTCCGCCTGCGGCAGAGGAGCTGTCCGACGCAGAAAAAGGCCCTGTCGTGAGCTCCTCGACCAATCGGCCAGCGGCGCCCTCGTTGTGGAAGGCATGGCAATATATCTTTGATTGGTATCCAAGTCACTACTCGGACGAGGAACTCAAACTGCTGCGAAAGCTAGACTGCTTCATTATGCCGCTGTGCTGCCTGATGTGTGAGTCTTACCCCTAGAACCATCCCCACCTCAAAAAAGCGGCTGTGAAAGAGAATGTACGTGGCTCGGCAAAGGGCCGGAGCAGATGGCACAGAATATGAACTGGCTCAAACTTGAAGATACGCAGATGCTGACGCAGAATTTATATAGTTTTCATCAAATGGCTTGATCAAGGCAATACCAACAATGCCTATGTTTCAGGCATGAAGGAGGAACTCCATCTGAACGGGAACCAGTATTCTCTGTTCGGGACATTTTATAATATCGGCTACCTCCTCTTTGAGATCCCCTCCATGATGCTCATCTCCCGCCCGGGCCTATCTCGCTACTACCCGCCGACCATGGAGCTCCTCTGGGGCATTGTGACGTTTTGCCAGGCACGCATGCGCAACGAGCACGATATATTCGGCATCAGGTTTCTGCTAGGCGTGCTCGAGACTCCGGCGTCCTCGGGCAGCATCTATATTCTAACGTCATGGTACCGTAGCGACGAGGTATTCAAAAGGGCGGGGGTGTGGTACGTGAGTAGCAATGCCGGCTCCATGTTTGGAGGATACCTGCAAGCCGCCGCGTACACCAATCTCAATGGTGTCTTGGGCATGGCTGGTTGGCGCTGGCTGTTCATAATAGTGAGTGTTAAATAACTTTTTCCCCGATAGAAAAATAGCGATGAGGAGCTTATGTATGCGCCGGCTTAGGATGGTATTATTAGCATTCCAATCGCGATTGCTGGATTCTTTCTTTTCCCCGGCATTCCACAAAGCCCCCGGGTCTGGTGGCTTACTGAGCGGGAACAGCAGCTTGCACGCGCCCGGATGGGCGCCGATGGCGTCAAGGAGAGCACGAAGATAGGAAAACGCATGCTCAAGCGCGTCTTCAAGCGCTGGAATTTCTATATTGCTATCGCCACTTACGTCTGGTAAGCCCATAATTGTAGTGTTTGGCGGTGCTAGACTGACACTTGTGGCAATCTCTAGCTTCCAGTGTACCACCTATGTTAGCGGGCAAATGGCTCTGTGGCTGAAATATGAGGCTGGACAGCATGGTACTTATACCGTCCCGCAGATTAATACAATCCCAACGGGTGTCCAAGGAGTCGCTATAGTGACCGGCATCCTTTCAACATCTCTTTGCATGGTCTACCCCATTTGGACAACCTTCACGGCCGCATCCGCAGTCCTTCTTTTCTGCAATATAGTTCTTCTTGTGTGGGACATTCCAGTCGGGCTTCATTTCACGGCCTACTATCTTCTGGGGATGACGTCGTGTATCACTCCAATCCTATTTCCTTGGGTTAACATGGTAATGAAGGACGATGCTGAAGCTAGAGCCTTCACGACGGGAGCGATGGTGAGTTTAAAGTTTTCATTTCTTTCTATATTCCTTGCTTTCTATGCTTCATTGGATTTTCTTTCCCCCTCCCTTATGTCTCTAGTTAGTAGCACTGTCTTGAATTCGCTCTCACCATTTATAGATGACATGCGGCTGGATCTTCTTCTCCTTCTACCCAATCACGGCCTTTCCCGTTCTCGAGGCACCCAAGTGGCGCAAGGGCTTCACCGTGAACACAATTTTAACTGTTGCTTACTGGTGCCTGTTTATGCTGGGCCAGTATTTGTGGTCGCGAGAGCTGAAGCAACGTCAGATCCAGGAGGTTGTCGATGAACATAAGGTTGAGACAGAGAAGGCCGAACTCGACGTGACAAGCAACCACCTGGAAATCACAACCAAGGGGGATACTCAGGGTTGAGAGACTGTGGACAGCACAAGTAAATGAAGGAATGAAGGTAATAGGTAAGGCAGCGAAAGGAGGACCTGGGGGGTAAGCGAGCGTTCTGTTGAGCTTCTCTAATTCTTAATTTCCATCAAAACCTGTAGCTTCCTCTGGAGTTGATTTTGAGTGACGTAAATTGATAGTGGAGCATGAATGTTGCAATCGCCCGAAATCCATACATTATCCCGAAGACCGAGAGTAGACTTGGCACCAAACGAATTATAAAAGCTTACAGATCCCACCTCCTTCAAACCCTTTTACCTTCCCCGGCGAATGTCCCACTCCCAGTCGAGCCCCGCACGTCAAGGACTTGGCAGACCGCTAACCATGCCCGCCCTTCCAGGATTCACAGACAACCCATTCCAAACCCGCGACGACCTTGTACGGGCTAGCATTGCCCTGATCAAGCCTTTGGAGAGGTACAGGTCCCCCCAAAGGGCCTTTATCAAACTCTCCACAGACACAGCAGCGGGGTTCGATGAGGTCGCCGCCCAACTTGAGGGTTTTGCGCGGCCTCTTTGGGCAATCGCAAGCCTCCTGGCCCCCGGAAATAGCGCAGATGGCCTTGATCTTGACATCGACTCATGGGTCTGCGGCCTACGAGCAGGGACAACCCCGGCGTGCTCGGAGTATTGGGGGGACCTTGGCAACTCAGACCAGCGCATGGTAGAAATGGAAAGCATTTCGTATGCCCTACTGATGGCTCCTGAAGCATTCCTGTCTGGAATGGACGCCCTGTCCCGGGAAAACCTAGAGACCTGGTTGCGCCAGATCAATGCGCGGCAGATACCCCGAAACAACTGGCGCTGGTTTCGCGTGCTGGTTAATCTGGCGCTGGGATCCCAGGAAGAGGATATTGTGGCCCATGATTTGAACGTGCTCGACTCTTTCGATCTTGGTGAGGGATGGAGTAGCGATGGACTCTGGGGGGATGAGAGGAAACAGGTCGATTATTACTCCGGAAGTTTCGCCATCCAGTTTGCGCGAATGTTGTATGTGAGGTTCATGGAGGATCGAGGCTTGGCTTCCCACGACCGCAATAGGGTTGAGAGGTATAAGCAGGAGGCGCGGCAATTTGCGTCGGCGTTCTGGAGATATTTTGATGTGGATGGTATGATGGCCTACAAAACACTCTCATCTCCCGCCCCCCATTTCACATGCTTCTCGACATCTCCATCCAAGATGGATATCTCGGGAAAATAGGGCTGACTGTGCAATTTTTAGGAAGTGCTATCCCGTTTGGGCGGAGCCTAACCTATCGCTTTGCGTTTGCGGCATTTTGGTCCGCAGTCGCCCTCGCCGGGGTACAGCTCGACGCCCCGCTCGACAACATCGGCGTGGTCAAGGGTCTCCTTTTCCGCCACCTGCGCTGGTGGAGAAAGCATCCTGGTATATTCAACACTGACGGTACCATGAACATCGGGTATGCATATCCAAATATGTTCCTCAGTGAGAATTACAACTCACCGCAGTCCGTATACTGGTGTTTGAAATCGTTCACCATTATTTGCCTACCAAAGACGCACCACTTCTGGACGGCAAAAGAATTACGGCATCCACTCGCTGTCCAGATTTTGCCTGCGCTGCAGCTCCTCGATGAGGTCAAACTCCTCTGGCCCCCACGACATATTATATGCAATGGACGCAGCCACCACTTTCTTCTCTCGGCGGGCCAAGGGACTACAAAGGCCCACCGCGCTAGAGAGGCAAAGTATGGTAAGATGGCGTACTCGTCCTTCTTTGGATTCAGCGTGCCCAGTGGCCCCCTGTTGGAGCAGTTGGCCTCAGACAGCACGCTTACAGTCAGCCTCGATGGCGGCGAGCAATGGATTGTGCGCGCAAATCCGTTCGACGTACGACATCGACAGATTCCAATTATCGCTTCCGATGGAACTGCCAAGATCGACGAGGTGACGAGATCCGTGCCGTCTCTAGTTAGTACCTGGCGACCCAAGAAGGCGATCGAATTTCAAGTCCAAACTATTCTGATTCCTGCATCGGATTTGTGGTCGGGCTGGCACTTCCGTATACACAGGGTGAAGTGGTCGCCCGCGGCCATCGTGCCCGGGATCATCAAATTAGTTGACGCAGGGTTTGCGGCTTCTGGTTCCACCAAAACAGGCATTTTGGTCGCAGAAAAGGAATTGAAACGACTGTTGGATCAGAACTCTGCCGGGATGGAGGGATGGGGAAAAGACGAACAGAGCTGCTTGATCCTCTCGGACTGTAGCGCTAGTGGCGTGGTCGATCTGCAAAGGGAATTGATGTCTGCGCCGTGTTCAGGATACGGCAAGCTTGCGACCGAAAAAGCAGCACTGGTGGTACGAGCAGATGCAAATACTAATTTAATCACACAAAGGACCTTGGTACCTGCGATTCAAAACACTTTGGTCGCGGAGACTGGACTCAAAACTACAGCGGAGGTGTGGCTAGCAACGGGAATTTTCGCGGTTTCGAAGACGTCAGGTATTGGCATGAAGGAGGTTCAGAAGCTGTGGTTCAAAAGACCAACAATACATGTGGCAGCAAAGACAGAGGAGGAAGAGGGGGTCCGAATAATGCTACCATGAGATTCAGTGCCTCTCTTCAAACGCATTAAAATGATTTCTATACTTGGTACCCTCGAAGCGGCACATACCATTTATTCGCCGTTCTGATTGGTCTGCCGAGCCTGCTCCGCCACAACGAGCGCGTGGTGTCCGATCATGTATAGGGTAACTCCCTTCTAGCTAAAAATCTATTAATATTTGTGTGATAGATAGCTAGATTATGCTATCGTATTAAAAGACCTGGAAGACTCGATTGGAAAATACACCTAATGCAACCAAGAGTTTACTATAGTCTTTCGAATTAGAAGAACTGTATGTCCCATATATCTTAGGTCGGTCAAGCTGGCATGACTTAGATCCTTTTAAGATCATTATACCATCAACGTTGACTAGCCCACTGCTTAGCCTTCTCATAATCCCCGGAGACTCCTGTATCAATCGTCACTCGTAGTGTTGTAGCAACGCGAGACCACATATAATAGAAACCCTGATGATGAAACAGTTAGGGATCCGGCAAAAACAGGAGTAATTAGATCTTACCTGGGCGGTAATTATCTCCACCAACTGCCTCTCATCAAACCATTTACTTGCTTCAAGGAAGGTTTCATCCCGCGCCACTGGAGAATCAATGACTTCATCAAGAAATCCAAGGAATGCAATCTGTCTCTCATCCCATACTTCTGGATTCCGAAGATCATGGTTTTCGAGGGCGTTGATTTGGCTTGCTGTAACACCCTCTTTTTTGGCGCCATTGATGTGTCGTACCCAGATATACTGACATTGAAATTTAACCGCACAAAAGAGTGTGAGGATCTCTCGCAAATTCACAGGGATAGACAAGGAACTAATACATGCAGTTCCAAGAGCCATCCCAGGACGAAGGGTCGTAGGAGAGTGTGCCCACATCCGTATCATGTTCGCGGAGGGCAGCTCCGGTGGAATATTCTCAGGTGGAGGATAAGGTAGGCGCTCCATATTTCTCCCTTCATAAGCAATCAAAGGTTAAAACAGTTGTGAGGATTAAAGGATGGCAGATAATGGCTATATGTAGAGTGACAACCGAGAAGAGAATCCTTGAACATGTAAAGTTTCTACATTTATATTGTGTAATTCAGCTCTTCTCCTCCTCCTAGTTCAGCTGTAGAGTTCAAATACTGGATTTAGTATAGTACAGTGGGATGATTACCCATTCGTGTACTACGCTAGTCTGACTTAGGACAACATAAACACGATAAGCAATTTGATTCGAACCGAATCCGGCATAGTGGGGTTCGGTGATTACCCACGAGTAAGTTCCGCAGCCTATCATAATCAATTCGATTTAGCCGCAGTACGTAGAACACTAACATAGAAGCTGAGGTGAGGAAGAGAAATTGGCCTTCAGAATAAAGCTAGCTAAGGAGCCCTACTTCTTCAAATTAGCCCAGACAATGCAACACTACTGTTGAGGTTACGGCATGCAAGTATGGCCAGGAGTTCTACTCAAGATCAAAAGAGATGTGAAAATTAATTTCGCTCAGGCAACATTATCTCTAAGGAGTTAAAATGTTTTCAATTTCTGGCGAGATTGAAAGCTCTTGAGTTTGTGCATGGAACTATCGCTTCGTCTATGGTGTTCAAATCCAGATCCAAGAAACGACGCTTTGTTCCCACAGAAACTAGGAAGTACTAATCTTCGCCCGTTCACTAGAGAAATGACTGCTAACAGTTCGGGTCTAATGTACTTTTCTTGCGCCATTTCCAACCTGGCTGTGCAGGTTATGACAGCATTTGATGGTGCTGGGGGGTCTCGTTGGGATATCAGAACTTTCTTCCCTATCGAGTAGACACCTTATAACGTACGGCTATACCAATCCTCAATTGTCATGATCAACCTAGTCAATGCGAGAAAAAGTTGGTACATCGAGAGAAGTCCGGAACAGTATCGATAAGGATATACATTATGTCAAATCTATCGTGGTCTCAAGCTAACACGTTCGATCGTTTGAGCTCGCCGGTTGCAGGACTGGATAACTCAGCATTTAAATTTGAAATTTTGAAATGCACGACCACCTGCGAGATCCAGGAGCCCGGTGACATTCCAATCAGATGTTTATCTTAAAGCAGAAAGCAGTCTCCTCTGTATCCGTACAGTTACAGTAAGACTTGACTTCTTGTTGATAAACCGCTTGGCTAAAATTTTGTAGGCAGTAGTACCCAATGCCCAACGCAAAAAGGGTTGCAAGACGAACCGCCGTCTCGTGTCTGCACTGCGTTATACAGACCATGGATCGAATCGAGATTGGACTAAATGATATATCACGTCTCCATGCTGCAGCTGAGACCACGCATCGGATGCCGCACCCACGCACTCTGCGCGCGTCGCGAAGCATCCGTCTCGTGGTTGGGCTTGTTGACTCGGTGAAACGGCCTTGGCGAAAACACTCCCACCGAAACCTTGATAAGAACACGGTCTGCGCCTCGCCGATCTTCCTTGGCTTGTCTTGGCTCCAAACAGGCGCCGATCTGCCACTAAGGGGCGCCCATTATGCTAGGAGCCATGGGCTTGGCACCTCCCACCGATCGGTCACCCCTTTACTCCGTACCCTGGCTACCAGCAATCTCCACGGAGCACATCGCCAAGGCTGCGCAACCACAAACAGTTGCTACTGGCTTCCTAGTTTACGATCGCTAGCATAGAAATGCCAAACTCTCTCACAGAACTACAAGAAAAGGTTCCCGGTTAGTGGGCTAGTGGGAGCAGACCGAGGGAACTATCATTCCACGAGTGACGCACCGCTTCTTCCATTGCGACCACGCGATGAAAATTGCTGACCACCACATGGGCATGGACACTGCATATTTCCGATCTGGTGGGAGGATCTAGGCCGGAACGACTGGCTTGGCGCTTCCTGACTTCCACAACCTCCGGCTGGTTGCAATCCCTTTGCTCACCCCTGCGCCTCTCGGAAGGCTGCCAAAAGCAACGACACTAATACCAAGAAACCAAGAAAAACCGGTGGAAGACCTTGAGATATCAGAAGAAAGAAATTACCCATGGATCCCTGTCGGCGTGAGCATCATTCTACCCCACGCGCAGGCATCCACCGTCATGGTGACCCGAAAACCTAGCACCCAGCTCAGTTATAAACTAAGTTGGGGCCGTCTTAGCCCTGATATTCGGTCAATCATTTTGGTCTAACAGACTCTGTCATTGGATTATTTACAATGCACTCCCCCCAGGAATTCCCATCGTCTCCGAAAACAGAACGTGGTTCTGGAAGCAAGCCAAGGAGACCTCTAGACACACACTCCGAGACAACTCATGGTCAGCATGCAGGACATGTGGTGCAGACAACCCTTTGCGCCGATGGCGGCATTCCTCACGCCACGGATATGCCGTGGGTGGGTAGAACCGTGTCTGCTGCGGAAACCCAACTCTTCCCGTTCCGGATGTCACGGTATTTCTCCGTGGAGATAGATCGCAAGCACACAGATATTATCTTGATAGTGTGTGGCTTTGTCGGCGGCTTAGTTGATGGTCTATCCTTCAATGCATGGGGCAGCTTCTCTAGTATGCAGACTGGTAAGTTGTCCGTATTCCAGCCGAGCGTATCCGTCCATACCCACTAACCAAGGCAAAAAGGAAATACCGTTTTCATTGCATTAGGCGTCTCTGGTCAACCTGAATACCCAGCCTTCCTCTGGGCAAAGTCCCTCATCGCACTAACAGTTTTCCTGCTTGGCAACGTCTTGTTTATCCACCTCTCACGCGCCCTTAAACCCCTCCGACGCTCAACGCTCGTCTTCTCCTTTGGCATCCAAACGGCCGCCCTCATCATCGCGGCATCCATAGTGCAAACCGGCCTCGTCAGCCCCAGGCCTGAAGACCCGCGCGCCCCTATCCAGTGGATTCAGGTTCTGCCCATCAGCCTGCTAGCGTTTCAGGCCGCCGGTCAAATCTGCGCCTCGCGCCTACTAGCCTTCGACGAGATCCCCACGGTGGTACTTACCACGCTTCTCTGCGACTTGCTCGTTGACACAAACCTCTATGTCAGACCGTGGTCTGCAAATCCTAAACGGAATAGAAGAATCGCTGCGTTTCTGGCACTTTTTCTGGGTGCTATGACGGCGGGCGGTCTCGCACGAACAACATCTATTGCTAGTAGTCTTTGGCTGGCCGTGGCTTTGAAAGGTGTTATCACGTTTTCGTGGTTCGTGTGGAGGGAGAACTGTCAGGCATTGAGACAGAAACAGGTCTTGGACGAGAGCCCAGTCTAAGTCCAATTTCGCGAGCTCATGCCTAAATTTTCTTTTTGAAAACTAGCACCCAGCTTCATAGAGCATTGGAGGACGTGCTCGTGCCACCTTTATTGCCCCCACCCTTCTCTCCTCGATCTTCTTCAAGCCACCCTTCCATGATATTATGCAATACTACGATCATTATCCAGCATTTTGACTTAATTTTCATATTCGAAAAATGTCTCAAATATGAATCTTCTTCTATCTCAAGTTCTATTCTATCGAGGCAACAAAGTCAAATTGGAAATCCAAGGAACAGCCTTAGAACATGTAAGGAAGAAGGAATCCCTACAGAGGTCTAGTCAGTCTTTGGAGTCCCTCCCTGCCTTGTCGGTGCACACTCGGATCGGAAAAGAGCGAGAGTAAAGCCAACACTAGGATACCTCAAAGACGATTATTTCGATGATCGGTGGTGCACAATTTGTGGTAGTCTTATTTGATTTTGTACATCAACGTTGGAATGTCTATTTTAACATTGTGTTGGTGCGGCATTGTCCTCAGGTTTCATCTCTGTACTCACTCATTTCGTCATATATTTGTTGACCAATCTATGTAAAGGTTTCCGTTATACGCAAGTCAATAGAGTTTTATGCTTCCAATCCCAAGCTAGAGGATTGCCACTACGAATAGAATCTCCTGCAAAAAGAAATTGCAGACGTAGCGTGGCTAAACAGTGCGACTTGACTGCACATCCAGAAGTATGGTCTAGTTACTGGCGCCCCTTACCCTCCTCCGGGGTCAATCCATGCCAGATAGCCTCTTACCTGACCTTCGGCTCAGTTAATATTCAGATAAGCAGTTATTCTTCCCAATATTGCCTCTTCTTATAGATAAACAGCCTCTCATAAAAATAAAATTAGTTACGTTGGTAGTGATCCGCGGATCAACTCTATTGTGGTAGTGTAGGTCAGTAGTCGTGGGCTGGTCTGTCGGTTACTTTTTAAGAAATAATGCGATTCGTATTCCAGAGATGGACCATTCTTAAATACTTCCTCTAAATAGACAGGTGCCGAGATAAAAGGGCAGTGATTCTTTCTTTACTTTTATACTGTGGATGAATGTTTTTGTGAACAATGAATTCATAGATATACGTCCGCCAGAGCATTCAACCAAATATACAAGCGTATCTACGTCAACGAGTCGACCACTGATGAAGTCCATGGCTTTAACAGAACTATAATAGCCTACCTTCCGTATAATGTTTGTTTCCAGTCCATGGCCATTATTGTATTGGGGCATTGGCCGTAGGGAAATTATGAATAAATAGTGCGGTGTAATCGCTGGTTTACCAGGAGTTGTGAAAATTAGCGACCGCCATGCTCTCTGTTGCTTTATTTAAATCAGTGGTAACGTCACTGCACGGAAATCAATTCGGAATTTATTGAAACAATCGCGAAGGAGATAATACACCCCCATTTACGAATGATTTCCCTCCAATCTATCCAGTCCATCAACCACGCATAGCACATCAGTATTCTTCGCCGCCACGAGCATGTCCAGAAAAGGTTGCCTAATCTCCAACTCAGCCATGCCCCATAACCAGTATATTCACGCCTTTCTTGAATCACACCGTCCCATGCATAGGTGTAAGTCACTAGTGATGTTTGTTGGTACTGGAATGGCTGGGGATTCAACGTGCGATCATTGAGAAGCTTAATGACATAATCGACCTTCTGGATAGCGACTTCTGCAGTTTTTGGTAGCGTTCCGCGTGCTGCTCTAGAGTCCTGCCATAAGGGTTGGGCCCAGAGCATCATCATCGGTGTCGCCGCGGCCGGTCAGGAAATTTCCACCCGGCCTAAGTTTACTTCCCTGGGTTCTGAATTTTCATGATACGTGGTACTTGTTGGATTTATATCATTCCAACTGGTGACCAGGCGTGCGTGAAAAGGCTGTGCGCTTGGTGGAATCAAAAGTCGGTCTCACCTTCCGGGTCTTGTAGACGACTACGTGGCAGGCTGCCTGAAAGTTGACGATTACATCACCCATTGCGAGTCACTTGGGACTATCAATACGGCATTCCAACACATGAAGTGTGGTGAGTGTATCCGGTGCGTGTTGGATATGAAAGTCTAGGTTGGGTGAACCGTGAGGCATTTTAGTCTTATTGGTAGGGAGTAGCAAGAATAGATATTTACATCTGCAATGTATTTGGGGTCACAAGGCCAAGCCTTAAAACAATTGGGAATAGTTGGTTATATTCGCCTTGCCCTCCGTCAAAAGTTTACATTCATGTAATAAAAGGATATTATAGTTCATAAAACCAGCAGGTGAGCCCGTGGCTGATGTGGATAGGACAAAAATCCAGGGTCGCCCTCTTATAGCAGTGAGAGCAGCTCAGAGTGGATATCACCCCCGCTTTTACACGCCACGGAGTCAAAGTAACGAAAGCAAAGCGCGCTGGACATGACGAGCCCATAGCTCAGCAGTATGAGCATGACAAAAAAGCTCCGTGCCCGATTTGGCGGGACTGCTAATATTCACCTTCTCTGTCGGAACATGTCCCGTGCTCCACGTGCCGGATCAGATCGTCTATGAACCCAGCGTATCAGCGTAGTCGGCTGAACTTCGGGCAAATCCGCTGTAATGTGGGGAAGCTTCTTGGCGCTGCCCTTTCTACTCTATTTGGCAGGTGGCACCACTCCCCTTGGAGACTTTATGTAACCATGCGGACCACTCTCGCGGATAGTCGGACCGAGCGTCCTTGATCTAGTCCCCTGGTAATTGCCCAGGTATGCGTGTGACTTTAAAAAGCTGCTGATCACCCCAGCTTGCTCAACACATCAACAATTGTTTGGTCGCAGAATTCGCTCCTATTCCCGTACCGTTCGACGGATAGCTATCGCAATGGCAATCTCATCAAATGATCGCTTTGAATGGAAGCTAACAAAGCCCGGGCGATGGGAAAGAGATATTGATGAGGTAGAAGAATTCTACACCTCGCTAGCGAAAGCCTTTGAGGGAACAGGAAGAGTCTTCTTTGCCATGACCGGGTTTATTTCGTTTTCCATTCCTGTACAGACAGGTAGCGACTCTTTCGAAACAGAGAAAAGAGTCGAGACGGCGCTTAAAAACGCCTGGACTCGTCTCCGCTTCGACCATCCAACCATCGCCTCCAGAGTGCAGTTTGACCCGGCTCAGCAAAAATACAAGAAGACCTACGAGACCTTCACCGATAGCGCATCCCAGCGTCAATGGCTGGATGATACGTTCCGTGTGGTACCAGAGAGAATTTCGGGGCTTGAGTGGTGTAATTCCGACCCCCCAGTTCCCGCTCTACCGACTCTGTTCCTCATCAAATCACCAACATCGAATGGGGATACCTTTCGCGCTGATCTTGTCCTTCGCTCGCATCACGACATCATCGACGGCATGGGTACCCTGCTTCTGTTCAACAATCTTTTCTCTCTTGCAGCCGATGCATACGAGCAAACTGAATACGATTTACCTCCATTTGGCGACGAGTGGTCAAACCTCAGCCCGCCCCTCAGAATGGCAGCTGGGATACCGGCTTCTCTCTCACCAGAGCATGAAGAACAGATGCGCGGAATACTCCAACACAACGCCTCATTGAAGGAAGACATTGAAACAGCAAGCCCGCCATTCCAGCGACAAAGTGCCGTCCCCGGAAAGCACCAACGGGTTGCAGTTACTTTATCCGAGGATACAACGGCGAGAGTTTTGGAAAAATGTCGCAGTCTCGGGCTCAGCATCACGCACGCGTACCATGCTGCAATTGCGCTGGCTGTTAGGGACCTGCAGGAACGTAAAGAGAGCGAGCGCATGGTACGATACATCAGCTATTGCTTAGTAAACGAGCGCCATCACTGCAATCCCCCATACAGCACATCGGCCCATCCCGCCACAGTGTACCACTCAGTATCCGGTCGATGTTTGGCTGTCGACCTTACCGTACACGCAGTAGAGAGTTCTGACGGGACTCCAACCGACGAGGAAGAATTCCTCCCCATTGCTCAGCACATCCGCGACTACTACCTGGACATTCGCGACGACGTGGAGTACATTAAGCTCATTCCAGCCTTCTGGGCGATGTCGATTTCCCCGTATCCTGGGCCCGACCCTCCCGTAATCCCAGCACGGAATGAGTCTCCTTCGGCGTCGATTTCCAGTATGGGTGTCCTGGACAAGGCTATTCGCCATAATTACGGTAGTTTCAGCGTCGATGATCCTTGGGTCACCGGCGAGGAGCTAGGAACTGGACTTGGGGTGTTCCTGGGCACATGGAAAGGGAGGTTGACTCTTAGTGCGGCGTATAATGATGCCTGGCATGGAAAGGAGGAGGTCCTGGACGTCTTGAGTCGGTGCAATGATGTTTCATTGCAAGGACTAGGTATTGGGGAGGCAACATCGTTCTAGCTTTCATGCAAAGTGAAGACCTACAAGTGCACACTATTCAATGATGTAATTTTCTCGGTTCTCCTGCAGAATTGCTAAGGTTGAAGATTTCAAAGGGTAATAAACAGTTTCTATAATTGAAATTACATCACTACGTGCATGCTCTGGTTTGGGGGAGTATTAGGGTGAGATAATTCCGAGTACTTGTTAACTTTATTTTCATCTCAAGAGTTAGAAGGTACCACGAGTTGTGCACAAGGCAAACTCCACCTAGTACATCGCCACGCATATCATCCACTCGGTATACGGCCGATCATTAGATTTCAACCAGAGAATGGAAGCACCCGGTATTCTTAATGTGAGAATGGGACCGTGGTGCGCGCTTTTTCACATCTCGTCGAGCAACTGTCGCGTTATGTGGAGGGATTGATGTGAGGCTTTTGGCGTACGTTGCAACGGCAAAGGCTGTCGCTCTCGAGTTGATCAGGAATGCTTCGTGGTTAAGATTAGTGACGTTGTCTCCAGCAGCGTGGTAATTAGTATCATATGCTACATTTGCTTGGCCTCCAAACAATTTGGCCTCTTCGTCAGTCTTAATGCCTTCAGCACCAGTGAAAAGGCCACCTGCGGGGATTCCACGAGAGATGAACCCGTCGTAGTCTGAGCGACCATCAAAAGCAGTTGCAATATATGGGAGATGCTTGGAAGTAAAGTAGTCTTCAAAGAGAGCCTCAATTTGAGCAGAGCCAGGCGGGCCAGTTTGATTGAAGGCACTTCCGTCTCCATCGTAGATCATGAGCGCATAGTTCGGTGAGGCGATCATATCGAAATTGAGGTAAAGTCTGATCTTTGCTAGCTCCTCGGCGTCGAGGTTGGATGTGTAAAATTCACTACCCAATAAGCCAAACTCTTCACCCGTCCAGAAGCAGAACCTGACCGCATTTTTGACGGAAAATCGAGTTAACGCTCTTGCTACCACGAGATTGCCGATGATTCCAGAGCCATCATCATTGATGCCCGGGCCAGCTTCGACCGAGTCGGTGTGGCCTCCTAGTGCCACGACATTATTATGATCACCCCCTTTAGTCTCCGCGATCACGTTGAATGTGGTGCGATTCTCGATTTGGCTGTCAATCGCTAGAGATACAGCCGCAGCGCTGTTTGATGCGGCATCGAGGAGGGTTTTTCCAGCTGTGTCAGAAATTCCAGCAATTGCGGCAAAGGATCCATGATCAGGGGTCACTCCGCCGAGCGTTCCGCTGAGAGGTCCGGGAACATTGTTATAGACAAGCGCGGCGGCTGCATTGGATGCGGCGGCAAGGACCGACTTCTCAGCAAACGAACATTCTCCACGCTTAATCAGGGCGATCTTTCCAGCCAATTCGCTTGGGTAATCTGCTGCGCTGCATCCAAGATTTGAGACCACTGCCAGCTCCGCAGTAACGTCAACGCTAGGGCTGTATGTCATCGCAGCCACTTCGATAGAGTCGCCGTTGAATGTCAGAGAGGACTCTGCCTTGGTCCATGTATGAACCTGTGGCTGCTTCCACACATGGTAATAGCCAGTCTTCTTCAACTCATGATAGAGAAAGTCAACTGTGTCGTTATGTGCCGCACTGCCGAACACACGGTTACGCTCGGGGTGCGAATAAGCAATATCTTCAAGCCGTTGGGTCCCCTTCAGCAGGTCTTCGAGTTGAATTTTGGAAGCAAGTTCATCCTGATAAGCCAGTCAGCATACTTGGTGCTGTTAATAGAGTCATGTCGTGCGTACATACCGGTGACACCGGTGGCTTCCCTTTCCCAGCCAAGGCCCCGGACAGGTGATATAATAAAACAAGCCACTTCATTGTCAAGGTAATTCTCACGTCGATGGTCAGGCAAGAGAAACGGTCAATCCAGAGCCCTTATATATTTCCAAAGGTCACTTTTTTACCTCAAGGCAAAGCGCGCAATAATCGATTACAATGAGGTGTGATTTCAACGTGCAAGTGCGTCAGTAAACATGCCAAGACGCGGGCTTTCCTTGGCGGGGTGGGAAGCAATTCCATAGGACCGGCGAGCATCCAAGATCAAATCTGCAGGCGGATCCCCGACGGCACTTGGCAACGAGAGCGCTGAGGTTACAGTGCCAAGTGTGGTCTATCGGAAGAGCTTGGCGTTGGAGAAAGACGTTGAAAGCGAGAAGATGGTTCAGATTGGCCACAATACACAATGGTGCGGAGATAAGAGTCCTCAACTTCTTGGTTACTTGGCGGCACTGAAAAGGCAGGTGCCACTCTCTACCCCGCGCACTGACTGAATAAACCCAGATACGAGAGCATGAGAGACTCTGATTCAGGAGTAGAGAGAGTCTGTCTGGTTTTGAGCACACATGCAAGGCCGCCGGTGGCAGGGGCGTAGCTGTGAGCTCACTTTTCCGAGTGAAATACAAACACCATACTTGGAAGAACACTCCTAATTCCCTGCTTGCGTACTCTCAATGAGTTCAAAATTGACCTACAGTTTTCTTTCTGGAAAGCGTGACACGCTTGTTGGTTAGGGGAACTGTGGAAAGTGTGCTTCAGAATGCCAAGGAATACAAGGTACCATTTGGCAGCGCCCTCAGCCACAGTAACAACGAGATCACCTCGCGCGTATTACTGCGGGGAAGTAAATCGAAAATCGAACGACAGAGATTATGAGATAGAAAACAAGACTGAGAGTCAGGTGTCCGCGAAATGTACGAAAAGGCCGCAGCAAGCTTGACAACCACGAACGTTACAAAGTCAGGACCTCTTGTGCAAAATACTATAACAGACTGACAGTTAACGTGGACGGTCAAAAGCCTGGTGCATTTTTGTCACTATGCTAAATCTGGACGAAGCCCTCCCTGTCATAAACTTACGAGACGGCTCGAAAGACGTGCTAAATAGCGGTACTACTGGAGAAAGAAGTTCCAACAAGGGATATTCACGCTCAGAGCCTCGATTTCCAGGCATCCATCCAATAACTACGAAAAGCTTGCGACATTGTTTTTCCCCCTTACCTTATGCGCGACGTACAGCACCTAAAACTAATCCCACCGAGAGCCGCCGTGGAGAACCAATTGATACCACAAGTGGCGCTATCGAGGCTCTTTTTCTTGGCCGGATTTTCTCTATCTATAGATAGTTCCCTCTTTCAACACAATGATATAATCTACGCCGGATATGCACAATAATTGAGTCCCTCGGCAGTGCTGGAGCTGTCTCGGGGATCAGACGCCTTGGGCGACCGTACAGACAATCCAGTATGCTGGGGCCAGACAAATTCTGCCCTTTGGCCATCCCTTTCCTTTCCCCAGATGTAGTTATCACTGTTGCAAACATAAAATCAGCAAAACACCAGAACGATGACTACCGTATTGTTTGTTCCTGGAGCTTGGCTAGCCAGGGCCTTTTACGAGCCATTTCTCCAAGCACTCACGGTCGCCGGCCACGATGTTCGATATGCGAGTTACCCCTCGTTGGACCCCAAGGACCCCTGCACAACCGATTGTCACGCCGACGCCAAGGCTATTGCTGCCGTCCTCCATCGCCTCGTGGAAGACGAGGGGAAAGATGTCCTGCTTTTCCTACATTCTTATGCCGGCATGCCCGGCGCCGCGGCAGCTACAGGACTAGCCAAGTCAGAGCGGGCGCAAGAGGGTAAAGTCGGGGGTGTCATCGGATTACTATTTCTGGGCGCCTTCGTCGTGCCCGAAGGCCTCAGCTGCGCCGGTCTCCAGGGTGGAAATTTACCCCCTTGGATCCTACTGGATCAAGTAAGAGAACTCTATGTGTGAATCTGGTAGAGAAATACAACGATTAACACGGACGCGTTGCAGCCTTCGACGAATCTTAATATCGCAGACGACCCGATCAATAACTTCGCTGCCGATGTCGATCCTGCCCTAGCTCGGTCCTTGATCGCAAATCTCAAACCACATGCAACATTATCGTTCACCTCGCCCCAGCCGCATCCAGCATGGGCAGACGAGTCGTTCGGTGGGCTTTTAGCGTTTATTGTCACCACGAACGATCGTGCCGTGCCAAAAGAGGCCCAATTCGGGATGATGACTGCCACAGAGCAGCCGTGGGTCATCAAAGAAATCTTATCAAGCCATTGTGGGCCATTCCTGAATCGTGTTCAAGAAACAGTTGCATTGACCCGAGAGATCATTGACCGATTCTTGTGAAGGGATCCAGGGACATTGAGTCCGCGAAAAAAGACATCTAGTTTTTCGATTATCATTCCACAGCAAGGCGGCTAACGGCACAGCCATACAACCTTCCTTAGATTGCCAACATTTATTAACCAATCCTCACCACCATTTAACTACTACACATGTCGCGTCATCACCAATTTTACGCTTGTAGGATCTTCGGGCAATGGTTTTCCAAAGACCTCATCTGGCACGCGTATAAAGCCATTGACCTGTCATCGCTGTAGGTGGTGATAAATTTAATAAAGTTGACTGCATCGAGGTCACTTTTTCTATTTGTATACCGTTCGAAGGGTGATATCAGCATGAATCATAATCATAGCGGTAGCCGGATTTTAGACTCAGACCTTGGTAGGTTGTAGACCAAAGCAAGATGGTACTGATTAGTACTGGCGTAGGTAGTTGGGGGATTACCTTCGCGAAATATATATCGGGACCCCACTGAAATAAAACACACATTAACCCCCCCCCCCCAAAGACACCGTTATTACCTATATTATATCTGTCGCCACTTACAATGTTCAAATACTATGGGACACTCATGTAACCAGCGACCAATTCACGGGTTTCGGATTTAAACGGTACTGGTTCGTTGCAAGTGGTAGCGCCCAAGAACAATATTCTAGCGTCTCCACTCAAACTATTCTCGAGGAATTGTTGGTGAAGAAGCAATACAAATGCCAATCAGTAGTCACGCCTGTGATATTAAATCCATTTTAGTTCGATCATTGTGTCGGTAATATTGCAATACACTCTGAGTATCATATGTTGAGAACTACTCATTCTCAAATCGCAAAGTTTCAAGTAAGCAAATTAAAAATTTATTTGTCCTAAAGAATGGAACTATTTTGGTGTGAAGAACATTAACACAACAAGCGAATTCTTGAACATGGTCATTTACGATGGCATCAGCAAGAAGACCGCGAAGGAAATCGCACGTCTCTATCCCGATGACCCCGCTCAAGGTATCCCATCAACTTTGAGCGGACGACCAGGCAGCAGAACCGGATTGGGACTTCAATGGAAGCCATCAAGCGCATATAACAGAGACAAGGTTATGTAGGCTGACCGTCGACTAGCCAGTCAAGCTGTAAGTATCTCGCTCAGCAATTCCCTTTCTTGGAGGCATGACTGGACGTTGCTCAACAATCTTGCGAGTTCCCGATATTGACACTGAATATCATAGTGGGCTCGCCACGGCGTCGACGTCTACGCCTATGTTTACGATGTACTATTCCATGCTAAGTGGTGGGAGCAAGGCGCGCAGGAGCAGGATGACATCGCGTTCTTCTTCCATAATGTCACCCTCTCCGAGGCGCTTAGTCCCACCGACCAGGCCGATCAGAAAAGACTTTCGAGCCACTTAGCTACCTGATGTCAAGCATGCTCGTCAGTTTCGTTAATACGCTGAAGCCCAATAATGTTCCACGTAAGTTTCAGAATGATTTCCCGTACAGGAATTCTCGCTAATCGCCTCAACCAGTCAATGGAAGCGAGACAAAAAAAACACGAGCATGGCAGACCCAATCTTACCACTGTAGAATATTCAACATGACAAACATCGACGTCTTGTACTCCTCCAATTGTTGGAATAATCGCAAATTTTTGGTTTGCTCCCGCATCCATTTCGTACGAGCTGAGAGAGAGGTAGCATCGATTGTGATCACGCGTTCCAGCTGCGATACTACCGATACACACTAAGTGAATGTAAATACCAAGTGGTCGAGCTGTACCATGGCCTTCCGCGTGGAAGAATAATCAGACATCGGATTAACAAACCCTCAACGGATAGCAGGGCGATCCGCATAGACGCTAGACCGAGTAAAGACGACTTGGCCCATTCTAGAGCATTAATATCCCAAGAGATGGAAGGACTATCTAGATGGAAGGGAGAAAGAACGGATGAAGATCTTGGCTGCTTACAGGAAGGGAAACTCACGTCCACGTCTGACTAGGCTAAGCCACATTATCTACTATTTTTCGCCTAGCGTCTTTTACTGTTCTGAAACCAGTCAAGTAGAAACTGCAGAGGTTATGAAATTTTCCAAAGCGACGAAAAGTTTCATCCAAGCATAGTTTCACACGCATCGGGGATCCCGGTACAGCCTCCGTGGTGCAAATTAAGGTTCTACGCACAACAGAAAATAAAGAGCAGTAAAAGGCGTAGGTTGTATGAAAACAGGAAAGAAACTTAGCCCGTTAACACGATTAATGTCCTCCTATCTGTCTACTTCAGCCCATGAAAGTTTAAGTAGATGGCATGGCCCGGGGCAAATAAACTCCACATCAACGACTCACATTAAGATGAACATATCTGTACTTGCAATTAGGTGAATCGAATAAATATCGTTACCGACCTTTGCAGTTCGGTCACAGTAATTAATCAGGCTTTATTTCTCCTGGAATTTAATAATCGACTCGGGGATGATTATGGTCATTTAGAATGTGTAGAAACAGTACGCAAAGTGCAGATTTCTTTGCGAACAGCCCTCACATCAGCTTTTATACGTCTGCTCTTAAAGGTGGAGGTGTTTGGGAGGACTTTATGTAACTTATGATGATAAGTAGTGCCTTTTGAACATATTCATTTCTCACTACGAAAAAAAAGAAGGAATCGCTAATGCCTATGAAGGATGGTATGTTAACATTGTATCGATACTCGGAATCAGGCTTTGTTTTCAACAGCAGCTGCTCCTCTTCCAAACATGGAGCTATTTTCTATCTTTTTGAACTCGTATCTTCAACAAATGTCAGCCCTGGGTCATGCTCCAAAAACACTCGTAGTCTTTTAGACTTCTGGCTCAACTCGTCTACACGCCCCACTGCGGATAATGCATGACACGGTTGCACCTCAAGCCGCCCAATAAGCAAGGGCAGCAGGGAGGTCTTCCATAGAACAGCTTTCCGACTCGAAACTGCGGTAATGGCGAGGAACACAGTCGACATCACTCCGACCAAAACGGGAAGAATAATCCATGGCCATCGAACATGAATGAAGTTTTGTGAGTAATAGGCCTTGCCGGCAACTGTGATGCTCGTGTCTTCATCGGACCGAATGACGTCCGTCATACTGGTAGCAAGAGAAGATAGAATGTCTGTAATGTTTCGAGTCGCGAGGTTCTGCGTTGCAAAGACGGTTGCAGAATCCGAGTCCGATGTGAGAATGGTGGAAAGATCGGAAGTCAAGGTGGAGTAGGTTGTATAATTGATCGGATACGATGAGTTATCAGAGAGTGTGTGCAGTCCCGACGGTGCAGCCAGATACGGTTGGTCGTGTCGAATAACCGACCCCTGCGTCACCACAGGGTCGACGGGAATCAAAGGCTCAGTCTTGCTAGGCTGGTATGCGTAACGTGTGTTTGCAGTTGGGAATTCTTGCTCGCACCAATATACAGCGCATTCTGTGATATCGGGTTTGTTTGGTGCATCGGTATGATTTTGATGGGAGTAGTAGGTTTTGCTTCTGTCGATCAAGCTCAGAATTGAAATAAGAGGGCTTTCAATTCCAACAACGCTCGTAATGGTCGTATTGGGTACAATTGACGACTTCGCTTGCAGATAAGTCAGAGTCCGCCCTTCATTCATTGATAAACTGACATCCGCAAGATTAACTACGAACCCACTGGGTGATTCGTAGGTACAATTAGTGCGCATGTTGTCCCAGCCAGAGCCCAGGTAGTTAAGAGAAGCTGTCTCTGGCGATGTCTTGCAGGTTTGATTGGTTTCGCGAGTGACATCCTCACACTTGCTGCAGATGCCCAGTGTCACGAACTCGGGATACTCGCAGTGATAGTCCGAATCGCAGTGTGGGTCCAAGGCCGCATTGGTTTGAAACAGCCCACTCAGCACTGCAATCTGCATGGTTGGGGATTTTTGTTCGTCCGGGTCTAATTCGTACCCGCGGGCCATTTGCACATATGCCGTCCCGTTTAAAGCTAAAGCGTTACGCGAGTGGATGGCGATGATCTGCTGGGAGAACGAGTCGATTGCGACTGCGAGAACAGTCAACACTGCTCCCACAGTGGCCAAGTTAGGCCTCATCGACCAAAATAAAACGATTGATCCCCATGCCCCACGGCTGGCTTCGTCGAGAGCCTGTAAGTCGGATAGACGATTGGCCCTACGATATCGATTCCATTTCAGTTGACTTAGACACGCCGAAACAGGAACCAAGATCGCCGCCTTGCCAATGGTGGTGATAACGGAAACGACCGCGTTGGGAGAAATCGAGTATTGCCAGCGATCGTAGGCAGTTCCATCTATCTTGGCAAGAAATGCAACAAGAAGCGCAAGTGAGATGATTCCCAAGGCAGATCCACCGATTTCCCATATCCATGATCCATTCCAGTCGAACGATTCTTTTTGGTGCAACTCCTTCGCAGTCGGTGAGGTTGTATTACCGTTAAATAATGGTTCGGATGTATAGTTGAAAGATTTTCGCGCGTCGGTGGTCTCCTCGCGGTCTTCTGGGAGGTGATGAATGGACGAGATTGATGAGCTTCTGGTTATTGCCAGGTCTCCATTCTGCGAACAGTCGCTGACCGAATGAGGTGCCATTTCCTTTAGTGTGCCTTTGCAGGTCTTTGGGTCCCTTGTTTTCCTTCGTTTGTTGATAGAAGTGGAGTGTTTCGTGGCATTCGCAATAATCCAATTTAACCGTCCAGAGGGAATGTCGCGCTGGGGCGGCTAGCAGCAGGAGCACAACTGCCTGTTCTCATCTCACGTATGAAACCTTTGATTTCGCAATGGGAGGTTCAGGTCAAAGAGTGATTGGGGTGGCAAGCCTTTCCATTTAGATGTTTTTCACTCCCCCGATGAGAGTCGCACGGACTAAGCGCCCAGCAGCGCAAGTCTGTCCGTCCGAATCCTTCTCCACTTCCCTGCATTGCAAGGGTGTAGACGATGAAACGAAGGATGGAGGCATTAGTACAATAACGAAGCGGCTGTGCAGACACGGGCCAATCGCTGATCCCAACACTTTAAGCTGAGGCTCCGGAGAGAGACTCGGAGTGGTCAGTTATTTCGAGCTGCAGTAGTCCATTGCGTGAGGGAACGGATATTCCCAACCATGAAATCACCACACGGGAAGAAGAAGAAATCGCCAATCATGATATTAACCTGACACGACGATCACTGCGACTCAAAGCAACGCCGATTTTTAGTGGATCGTCGGGGGCCAAACGAGTCTCCGGGGTGCTGTGCTGTTCTCCAGAAATACCCTTTCAATCCTCTGCTAGGCAGCTAGTCAGTTAAGTTGACCACCTATTGCCATAAGAAAAGGATAACCCGGCCGAGTCAAACGAGGCGACAGATTTACATTTAGTAGTATCGACCCTTATAGATTAATGGTATAAAGTAGGAAGAGATCAGAGCCAGGGCCCAAGATCATCAGGTTGGTGCCCACATTCCCCACCAAGTGGCCGGATGCAGGCCCTTTTGGCCCCCAACAGTCGCCTTGATGAGGGGTTTACCACTCCCCCCAGGGCTTCGACCCCCTTTCAGGGGTTTCTTGGGTTTCCCGACCGGCCGATTTTCAAAATGCCCGTAGTTATTTCCAGTTGGTGCAAGTCCGCCGTTAGAAAAATATCATTCTAACATAGGTCGGAGGAGCGTCACACCACCATATAATCTATAATTTCCGCTACCAAATTTATTCGACACGTCAGCTTATTGTAGTATTGAAGGAGCTCAAAACGCTCTACATGAAAATTTGATAATCGTCAATGTGAACATCCCATATAACTGGCTACGAGCCTCGAAGTTAGTTCGAACTCGCTCATAACATGCAGATAGTACCCATTGCCGAGAACCGATCAGCATTGCTTGCCGCAGGCTTCCAGTCCCAAATCTAGCATTTATTACCTGACTATCGATGGTAACAGCCTCGAATTTACGCTTCGAATTAACGCCTCGGTCGCTGTACTGGAGAGTATTGAAGGACATATCGTTGCTGTCATTGCCACGATACAGGTCTGACTATCAACAACAAGTCGATGCCCGATTCGCAGCTCTAGCATAGTTAACGTCGTCACGGCGTCACTAAAGTGAATCACTCAAGGGTACTCAAGACCTAATTGGCCAACGCACTTTAACGAGACAGGGAATGTCTAGCCGATTGGCACGTGTCACAGAGCTGAAATAGAGGCCCCTGTCAACAGGCATATCCCTCCATGTCAACACTTCTTCAATGCCGGAAGTTAGGAAGGATTTCCATTGGATTTGTCCTGATATATTCTCCGAGTGTTTCGGGATAGAGCTTCAAGATGGCCTCCATTTAGGTGGTAGCGAACAAACCAAGCCCGAATGGTAAGTGCCGTCTCGACGTGTTCCCTACCAACCCTCGCGAAATTGACACCATGTTAAGACTTGAGTCCTAGTCCAGTAAAGGTGATCCGATTGATTACGGCTGGAACTCAAATGCTGACACTTGTTAACTAGAATACAACCTAATTCGAACAACGAATATTGTCAATATGTCGCTACTTTTGTCGGCATCACATCATTATCACACAAGGAGTGCAGACATCCTCCTATAGTTACTAAGCTATAGCGCACCGGGCAACGCCTTCAAGAACACCTTCGTCAAACATGGCTCGATGAAAATATCGATGACAGCTATGGATGTGTAGGTTTGTGGATAATTATTTCCGGAAATCATATATGCCTTTAATACAACAGACTTGCTATGCCACTGTGAAGAGGGCATTCTCAATAAATGCCACAGGTCAGTTACCATAAGCTCCAGGATCATAAACACGCAGGGAGCGCTTAGAGAAGCCAGGATAATGCAGTGGCGATACCATGTGAAATGCGTAGGGGTAGGATCCTCATGGTAGTTAGAACGACATTAGGCCTTTGGGAGGCATTTGATACCGAATAATAGGCTACAACGCGCGCCAAGTCACTTGGTATCTGTCGTGATCGTCAGGAACAGGGAACATGGCTCTAAAAATACACTGATGGTTCGATCTGGCCATCAGGATAGGTGAAACAGTACGACTGGTGATGATCTCAAGGCATTCGGAGAATATTCAGCCATATGTGATGAAACTCATCAATCCAGTAAGAGCTTTGAGGCTCATAATTACGGATATAAAATGACGGTCTCGACAACTTCTAGAAAAAGCAGTGAACTGTTCCATCAATCAACTGTAGGTTGACTCCGACGTCCCTATTATGCAAGATCGTCCATTCAATAACAGTTTTTACCAGATACTGAACCTTTTCAATCAACCAAGACATGCATTTCAATTACTTGGCCATTTTGGTTAGTCTTGCAGGGGCAGCTCTTGCTGTTCCCGCGCCTGGTCCGGCGCCCGGTAAGTGAGAACCTAATCCATTGGCCTTCGAAGCTTTCGAATTACTCATCCGGCTGTTTAGGCCCAGAGATGATGAGACGTGCCGATGATACTCAGAACAATAACCAGAATAATGAACATTGGGGACCCGGCTGGGGTGGTGGCTGGGGCGGTGGTTGGAGACATCCTGGATGGGGAGGTGGCTGGAGAGGATGGTGAACCGATGGCATCAACTATGCCTAACTACTCTCGCTTAATGATGATTTCGGGCACCATATTGTTTTGATTGGAATCTTAAAGCGTCACATGGATTTTGTCGGTCTCTACTTAATGGACGCACGGTAGTTTACGAAATTTTGCCTATGAGCAATACAATCGGTAAATCTTTTCCATTTAGTGTCTCGGTATGTTGCCACAAAGCATTTACTGAGCGGCCTCAAATGAATAGTAAAGCACACGGCACTCCCCATAGTAGAGCTATTTCTCAATGTATATATCTTTTACCGAGATATTTTCATAGCTTCAGGGCGCGGGAGAGCCAATTGATACTCCTATCATGTGGCCCTGCCGTCTCCCAATACACCATGCGTAATATTAGCGAATATCACCACCATGGACAGCTAATCTGTGAGCTCTTCACTCTTAACCACTAACCTCACTGTATTGACTTTAAATCTTAGACTAGAATTTGTGGACAACACATTTGGTCTGACGGTTGTTAGACACCTAGTATCACCCTCTCGTACTGGACAGTTAGACCACTTCCTAACTTCTTGGCGGGCTCAGCCTCAGCCTCAGCTTGGCCGATCTTTGCTCAATGGATACTTACCCTCCGCTGGTGCCAGATTATTTTGTCATTCAGTTCCAATAATGGTAGTTAGACTAATGATCCTATCGTGGTTCAGTCATCTTGAGAATTCTTCATGATAGGTTCCGATGATACAGTTTCCCTTCAGTGAACCTTCCAAATTCAAATGACTCCATAGAGACTTGGTGTTGTATTTTACAAAGTGGGGAAATATTGCAATAGAAGTGCCTGTGAACGTCTTCTCTCTAGTCATAATAGTATATTGGTGAAGAAACTGGCGAGAATTAATCCGTCCCCGTTATCCCTCGCGGAGTCTTAGGCCGTGTCCTGCTACAGCCCATCAATAATCGTCGCATATCCAACATGGGGAAAGGGATACTAGATTTCTACTACATCTAACATATCCCGCGACTTCTTCTTGTTGTTAGCTTAACCACGGTTAGTCTTACTGATCGCTTGGCTCTTAAGGTTATAGTGGATAAGGCGATTTAGGCGTGCCAAACTCAATTTTCATAGCAGTGCGACCCTGGCCAGGATCGTACATAAATTACATCAAATCAAGGACGTCAGAAAACTCTCTGCTGGCAATGCAGTTCTTGGCCTCTCTTGGCGCTGCATACTTGACATTGGTTACATCGGCGCGCGTCTCGCTTCTGCGTGGCTTGGTACCAGTACATTTAGGTCAACACCCCCTCTTCCGACCTTTTGTTTCAACAAATTAGCAATTCATTGCCAACTCGCCCAGGGTTCCTTGACTATCTTTTATCACCTAGTGATCCTTCTCCTTGGACCTCCATGCCTCAGTTATATTGAATTATAGACCTGCACATCCGCGACCATGTCTGAAACCAAAGAATCAACGACGAATACAAATCCGGTACCGAGCGTTTCTGCAGCCGACGATGCTCTAGATTTTCTAAAGCGACAATGCGATACCGAGGGCTCGCCACGGGGTCTGGCTGATATTCGCCACAAGGTTGATCGGCGGATCCTGCCGTTCATGTTTTGCTGCTACTTTTTACAATTCATCGATAAGGTTATGTACGACGTAAGTTTCTTCTTCGTTCGAGATGATGGTGAAAGAGATAAAATGAAATTCCAAGACTGATTCAACCCTGCTCCGCCAGTACGCGGGTGTGATGGGCATGAAAGCCGATCTTAAGCTAAAAGGAAACGACTTTAGCAATGGAGCAAGCGCATTCTTCATTGCGTACTTGGTTGCGGAAGTCCCAAATGGTAAGAGCAATATACCGACTAGTCTGTTGATATATTAATCCTTCGGAACTCTAGTGTATTTTCTTCAAAAGGTTCCTCCGGCGAAATGGCTAGGGGCCAATGTTATCTGCTGGGGTATTGCTGCCGCTGCAGCTGCCGGGGCCAAGGATTACACCACACTTCTCGTGGCAAGAATATTTTTGGGTATATTCGAGGCCACAGTTGGGCCATCTTTGATGCTGATCAGTAGTCAATACTACACAAAGTCCGAGCAAGCACCCAGATTTACCTTTTGGTTCTTAGGTCTTGGAGTAGCGCAGATCATTGGCGGGGTGATCTCGTTCGGTTTCCAGCATGTCCACAACGGATTTGCCGGTTGGAGGATCATGTTTCTGGTCTTGGGATTGATCACGGTGGTTGTTGGCTTGGGCACGTTTTTCTATCTCCCCGATACTCCTATGCAAGCGAAGTGGTTATCCGATGACGAGAAAGTGGCACTCCTGCAACATACACGAGTGAATCAAACCGGTATCCGCAACAGCAAATTCAACTGGAGACAAATTCTGGAAGCAGTCACGGACGTTCAAGTGTGGTTATTCTGCTTGATGCTTGCTCTGGTACGTTCTTTATTCCGATAAATGTGAGAGTCGGTCGTTATGGAATTCTAACGATGATCGTTCCTATCACAGCAAGCGGTATCCAGTGGGGTCGTGATAGCATATTCCTCAACCCTTATAGCTGGCTTTGGCTTCGGAGGTCCAGTATCTGCCCTTCTCAACGCTCCATCAGGAATTGTCAGCATCGCTTTTACGCTCCTCGTCGGTATCGGTATTCGCAAGGCCTCAAATCGATGGGCTTGGGTATTCATCTGCAGTGTCCCTGGGATCATTGGTGGCGGACTAATGTCCTTCCTTCCAAAGAGCAACCGTGCCGGCGTTCTAGCCGGGATTTACTTGGTCAACGCAATTGTAGCACCGACGCCGGTTATCTACCACTGGGTAGCAGCTAATTGCGCAGGATACACCAAGCGCGCATTCGCAAGTGCGGCGGTTGCCGGATTTTTCTGTGTCGGTAACATTATCGGGCCACAAACCTTCCAGGCTCGAGATGCTCCAGAGTATCGACCAGCTAAGATATCAGTCCTTGCAACTCAGGCAGCTGCGGCAGTCTTGGCTGTTGTTCTCTTTGCTTATTACGTCAATGAGAACAGGCGCAGAGATCGTCTTCAAAGCGCCAGTGGAAGTGAGGACCAAATTAGCGACGAGGCAGCTTGGGGAGGGCTTACGGATAAAGAGAACAAAAGCTTCCGATATGTATATTGAGACTGCAGAAAATGTCTCGATCTCCACGTGCGCAGAAGAACCGGCTCTAGCATCGACATGGCAGTGCTTCGGACAATACTCGTACAGGGGCTCCCATCGATGGAAACTATGTGACACAAAGGTTGACAAGTACCTGGATCTTAAAATCCTCCGACTCCCCTCACTCTCTTCACGGCACCAACCACTCCACGTGCCCAGCTGAACCTTCCAGGATCAGTACCAATAGACCCTGGTGGAATTCCGCCCGTGACAGGATCATGCCAGCATCCATCCTCAACGCTAGCAGCACCGTACTTGGCTGTGTTCTGGTTGCGATCAATTATTTCGAGCCATTCCTTGCAAATCAAGGCTGAGTCAATCAGGACATTGACCTCTTGACTGTGGAAGAAAGACTGTGTATCGAGGTTTCCATTTCCTATGAATTATCCTGGTCAATACAGCCCAATCGATGAGGGGTTGGTTTTTGGACATACCTTGTATAGCAATCTGCTCGTCGACAATCATCAACTTAATATGACAGCTGCGCTTCTTGAATGAGTTGTGGATCGGTTTTGTTTGGTCTTTGCCCACATAGTAGAATATCCGAAGCCCCTCTTTTTCCTTTTCGGAGTCAAGAGCGTTGTACAATCTATTTGCGATCATTTCGTTCGTGCCGTTTTGGAATGGCAACAACTCTCCTGCATCATTGTATCCCAGGCACAAATAGCAGGTCACAATGACACCACGGCGTACAGCATTCAGAAGGGGCTCGAGCAGCGGCTCTGCATTCATATTGGGTGTTTGGATGAAGATAGATTGCTGGGCATTATTGATTGCCGATAGCCAGGCCGCATCCTGGGGTGTGTGGGTGCTGTTGTGATTGGGGGCTAGAGAGAGACTCAGTAAATTGGCCTTGCGGGACAAAATAAACCAGTTCCACTCACCTCCGTATGGTTCTCTATTCACAAGGGCCATGGGTACTGGGTCATGACTCGGCAGCAACTTATATGGAGTCATTCTGACTTCTTGATCACTGTCAAGGGCATCCCCGGTTGTTTCAGGCTGGATCGTAGTATCTACCCATTGGTGAGCAACAGTCCAGATGAGATTTTATGTAAAATATGAGATCACCTACTCAAATGGCGAGTAACACCTTGTGTTGGAGATTCTCCCTCCCTTGGATAAACACAGCTATTGACTCTTCGTGCTTCCTGGGCCATGTCTGTGTCATAGTACTGCATTTCCGTGGTATGTTCCGGAAGGATCTCAGCCGTTTCTTCCGAGACCAGATCAGGGCTTCTAGCCTCATGACAAGGAATTGGAGCATCTTTAGCGGGGGAATTTAGAAGCGGCAGAGGCGGGTCGAGAGGTTTTCCCCATGACAGGAGTGCCGCGTCATAGAAGGAATCTACGATAGGTCCTTCAATATGTGCGAGCATTTCCAGGTTATCGTTGTCTTGAATGTTGCTGCTCTGTAATAGAGCTATGCGCCGGTCAATGACGGTAAATTTTGCATGGAAGGTGCCAAAGATCGGTCGGTGGTAATTGATGACTTGTAGATCGACGTTGGGGATTTCATCCGCAGCAGGGAGTCGAACTTTTCCCACTGAATATTCCTCTTCCGGGACACTCAGTCGGTTTTCCCACGCCTATGCCGGTATGAGCATATAATTTGAGTACTGGCGACTGAACAACGAACCTGTCGTGGATTCCCCCTGTCATAGACCATCTTCATGATAACTTTCTCGCCACGCTCTCCGGCTCTGTCGGACAATTCTCGGATAGCATTGGTAACTAGGGTTGATGCATCCGAGTAAACCCAAAAGTTCGTGCCGAGGAAGACCTCATGTTTGGCTCGAGCTATACAGTTTGCAAGATGTCGACAAAGATCTGGCAAGGGCGCGACTATAGTCAACGGAACAACTCCCGTGCTTCCCATCAAAGGAGGCGAAACCGCCCCTGCAGAAGGACCTTTTTCCAAGGAGCTAATTGCGTCATGGTAAACCTGGTGATATATGGAATCAGTTTTCCCGATACAAACATTCAATTTTGAGAGCGGTCGCTATTCTCACCTTCGAGAATAATTCACTTGGCGCTGACGCTCCCCAGTTTCCGCAAGATAATCCTTTTTGCAGTTCGTCCTTTTCCTGGGTGGAAGAAACCTCATATGACGAGGGGTTTACCCCGTCAATGGACTTTTTGGATTGTAGAGTGTGATCATGGGTCTCATAGAGATCTTTGAAAATTTTGCCCGGGCATTGTGATGGATCCTTTGCTAGTTCTGAGGTTACAGTTTCAGACTGTTTGCACCAGTTGTAGATCTTGTCTGTCACCATGATGTGGTGCGATAATAAGTGACTTTTTGGTGCAATTTGAAATAATCCAGTAAATAAGAAGTCGTCTCACGAGTAGAATTCTCAGGGATGGTATAAGTCAAGTTCAGCTCAGAGTGCTTTAGCGGTCGTATTCTAGGACAAGGCTTGGTGACGTATACAGGGCTACTAACTTAATGCGGAGCTAAAAGTGGGGACTTATGAAAATGTGTTCTGAAAGAATAATAATATTAGCCGTTCAATTAACTTACCAACCTGTTTGGTTCGGAAGCGAACACGGATGCCTAAATTGCCATGTGGTTCGGTCCCAGTTCAACGGGCCTCGACGTCATCAATCTCCCGAGTCTAAATAAAGAGCGGCGCCCGTCATTTTTTTACTATAGACTGGCCCTGGAACCGTTGAATTATGTTGAGAATTATGTAAATGTCAATTCTCAATTTGATCGGTAGATAATTCAAACGGTAGGCGGCTCGATCGGTATCGCCCTTCTCGCTGCACAGCCTTGCTGGGTCATCATTGACCCACACGACTTGGAGCCACACACCAAGAATCATGCTTAGGCGCAAGATATGGCTCAATCAGGCTCGCTTTTCCGAAATTTGAATGTTTTCCATTCCCTTTCAGTAGATATCCCCGTTAATTTCATCTTACGTCCGTAAGATAAGCGGAAGAAATGGCTGATTCACGCCAGCGTAAGAATTCACTAGGCTAAGAAAGAATGTACTTTTGTAACCTATTATCCTCGCTTACAAGGTATTACGCAATGGGTCTCAGATCAATTTTACTACAGTATTATTATTATTGGATCGTTGCGGATTCTCGGATCTTGAAACAGGGCTGAACAGGGCTGAAAAATGACGTATACCAGCGGGGCAGAAAGCTTAGCAAGGCTTGTTCGGCTCAGGAACTCTCGTTGAAAGTTTGCGGGATCGCGAGGAATGGTGATTTGCCACAGAGAGAATGAGAAGGGTAAGACTCTAGTTAAGAAATGCGTGTTCGTAATTTTGTCCAACCCGAAATTCCAGCCCCTGATCACAGTTTCACTCGGAACCTTTTCTCCACTCGGCATCATTTGCCTCGTGCCACTTTGTTTCATAGCAGCTTAAATCTCGAGGGACAGAAGCGACTACTGCTCAAATTCTAACTATCGGCCCATCTCTAACATCGAGCATAGAGAAGGAACTTTACTACTTTACTATTACTACTCAAGGTGATATACTGTCGATGGATGGTCGCGGAGCTCTGGACTTACCCGCCCCCATATGATATGGTATAGGCGACTCGGCTACCAGGTCGCAACATTCTTCTCCTATCTATAGTCCTCGTTCTCTTCACTTGGTAATTACCACTACAATGTTTTTCATCTATGATTATGCTCTGCATTCCTCCTATCATTGACAACATGGCTCGGCAGCCTGTGCGGGTGTGCTGTACTCATCACACTCCAGGCTAGCAAACCCTCAATTGGCTTTTTCCTCAGCCTCAACGTTTCAAGAAATTCATCTAGGCGCCAATATAGCCCGCTAACGGGAGCTTCATAGATTCGGGGATACCTCGATCTATCTTCTCCGAGTCACATTTTAGTGCCAACCTGATCTCAGTGGTTGATTATTCTAAACAAGAACCTGATCTTGGGTCTCACCATTATCGTAACTATCGATTTCCACAAGATCTGTCTGAAGTAGTCAACTATCTAAAAGGACTCTGTTTCATAGTGGGTATAGTCTACAATGGCAGACCCCATCTCAGACCAAACTCCCCCGGTTAACCACGGCCCTCCACAATACCCCCCAACACAACACAAAGCAATTAACCTGCACCTCCGGGGTTTCACCGGGGAATTAAAACATCCCCAATGAAAGAAACAGGGATCTTAATATCTCAAAGGCGGGGAAATATGGGGCTGCTGCAGAATCTCCCCCACATCCCACATTTATGTCCCGCTATCTCCAACCGAGAAGGTGTCGGAGTGTTGATCACCCGAACAGGACTGTTTCATAACAATCATCTCATCGATTAATAAGGTCTTGTTTGTCTCTATTCTGCCAACCACCCGGGCCAATTTAGCCCGATGAGACAAGGGTGGTAGTGCATCGCGGGGTTGTCAAATAAACACACTCCTCTTGCGGAGAAGAACGATGGCTACCTCGGTCTCGGTCGCTCCTTTATAATACAGTGGGGCGCCCATCTTGCGCATTCTATCGATTCATTGACTTGAATTCTTGAGTATCCGTCAAACCTCTGATCCTGTCATGCATTGGCTAACGCCTTTACTGCTGGCACCGCTGGCATGCGCAGCTCGCGCACCATACGAACAGTATATCCTGGCTCCAGCCTCGCGAGATCTAATTCCCGTCTCTATATATCAGGTCAACGGCTCTGTTACCAATTCCCAAGCTCTAACACGTTCTTCGGGAGGGGATACCACTTTCCACGGTATTTCGTCCGTCACGTACGATTTTGGCAAGAACGTCGCCGGCCTGGTCTCCCTGGAGGTCGGATCCGTCTCTTCTCCCTCGGCTTTTTTGGGGGTGACATTCTCCGAATCCAGTCTGTATATCAGCAGTGAAGCCAGCGATGCCACCGCCGACGCAGGTTTGGATACACCACTGTGGTTTGCCGTAGGTCGAGGTGCTGGGAACTACACCCCGGAGGAAAAGTATCTGCGCGGTGCATTCCGATACCTCACAGTCGTGAGCAATACGACTGCGACGGTCTCTCTCCAGTCACTTCATGTCCAATTCCTGGCTGCTCCCGAGCAGAATCTCCGAGGCTACACTGGATGGTTCCACTCAAATGACGAATTGATCAATAAGATTTGGTATGCTGGCGCATACACGAATCAGCTCTGCACGATCAATCCGTCGCAGGGAAACGCATTGGTCCATCTAGGCAGTATCAGCTCGAGCGACAATATCACGCTCCCGCAGACTGATACCTGGTGGAATAATTACACAATCACGAATGGCAGCAGTACCATCACTGACGGTGCAAAACGCGATCGACTAGTATGGCCGGGTGATATGTCCATCGCCCTAGAGAGTATTGCCGTCAGCACTGGAGACTTGTATAGCATTCGAATGGCCCTCGAATCATTATTTGCCCTGCAACACTCTAACGGTCGTCTTCCATACGCAGGAAAGCCTTTTTACGATATTGAGAGCTATACTTACCACCTGCACAGTCTCATTGGCATGTCGTATCTGTATCGCTTCTCGGGGAATCAGAACTGGCTGGCTCAGTACTGGGATCAGTACGTACGAGGTGTCGAGTGGGCTCTGTCCAGTGTGGATAACACGGGACTGGCCAACGTGACTGCCAGTGCGGACTGGCTGCGATCTGGAATGGGAGGACATGTAAGTTGATCGTCCAGTATCATCCCGTGGGACATTGGCTAATCACCTTCCAGAACATCGAGGCAAATGCTATCCTCTATTTCGTGCTTCAAGATGCCCAAACCCTCGCCCAGGAGCTCAACCAGACCACCACAACGACCAAATGGAACCAAATTGCGGCTCACATCAAAACAGCTGCCAACCAGCTTCTTTGGGACAAAGATGCCGGACTGTATCGCGACAACGAGACAACCGCCCTCCATCCACAAGACGGCAATTCCTGGGCGATCAAAGCCAATTTGACCTCGTCCACAAACCAAACCATCGCCATCTCTCAGGCCCTCAAATCCCGCTGGGGAACATATGGAGCCCCCGCTCCAGAAGCCGGAACCACCGTCTCCCCTTTCATCGGCGGATTCGAGCTGCAGGCACACTATCTCGCCGACCAACCCGCAGCCGCACTAGATCTGATCCGGCTGCAATGGGGGTTCATGCTGCAAGATGGCCGAATGACACAATCCTCCTTCATTGAAGGGTATTCCACGGACGGATCATTACATTATGCGCCGTACAGCAACGATGCACGCATTTCGCATGCCCACGGGTGGTCCACGGGACCAACCTCGGCGCTCAGCACGTATGCGGCGGGCATTCAGCTGACGGGGCCGGCGGGAGCGGAATGGCGCATTGCGCCTCAACCGGGCAATTTGAGCAGTGTGGATGCTGGTCTTTCAACTTCAAAGGGACAGTTTGCAGTTCGCTTCCAGCGTAAGAATAGGAAGTATGAGACATTGTCTTTTCAGACACCGTCATCCACGCGGGGGGACGTGGTCTTGCCGGGGACATGGGGGAGTCTGGTATCGAAGAGGGAAGAACGTGTCTCACTGGTTAATGGTGTTGCCCGTGGGTTGTGTGGGGGAAGCTGGAAGCTGGAGATAGATGGTAAGTAGTAGATAAGCCGGGTAGAAATGGATGACCGATGCCCTCTGATGATGTCTCTGATGATGTCTCTGATGCATGTCAAGCTGTTGATGTAAGTAACTTGGATGAAAGAAGAAGACAAACGGAAAGTGCTCACATGACCAGAGGCAGACCAATGATTTCTTTTCTGTTTGATCATTTACTATACTTAGTTAATAGTTGATGTCTATTAATCAACCTTTATTTGCTTTTTCCCCAACCGCCTTTGTGGGGGACGAAAGATGGGGTAGAGAGTTCTGGACATAGTATAGTAAGTATAGTAAGTACTACAGTAAGTACCATAGACTATAGTATGAATACTTAATCACTCGTCCGAATATGATGGATTACAGCCTCACTCTTGTATCTTCTAAGAATCTAGACCTTATCTTCTCTAGGCAGCTGTTGAGTCATCCACTAGACCAGAGTCGGTGTAACGATCAACACGGAGCCTCACTGGAATCCAACGAATAAAGTCAGCTTTGGGCTCTTTGGATTTCCCCTCTTCCAAAAGAAAATGAAAAAGACCGAAGAGCCAACGCATCGCCTCGCGTGGGATATTCTGATTGGCACCTGGCAGAGGTCCTGGCCACTACTGCAGTCGGCCTGCAGGCTGCAGCTTCGTCAACCTGAAGTTCAAGTTGGACTGACAGCCACATCCCAGTCTGCTGAAATCCTTTTAAAGTCTCCCCAGTCTCACCCACTGCGTCTTTCTTTCTGACTCGTGTTTCTCTTTCTTTCTCTTTCTCTTTCTCTTTTTCTCCTCTTCAACCCCAGCTTCTTTAAATCTCTCCGCATTTCTATTTCTATTTCTAGCTCCCTAAGCTCTCTCTCTCTTTTTCTCCACTTTCCCCCCCCCCCACTGGAGCTTCCCCAAATGGCTGAACCATCCACCGACGGGGGCGAGACGAAGCACGAGGTGGACCCCTCCGACAACGTCAACGGCGCCCAACAAGCTCCCGAAGTCTCCGTCAAAGATGCCGCCACCACCACTGCCCCCTGGAGAATACTCCCAAAGTAGCCGCCGTGTGCAAGAAACATCCGGACCCCAAACACGACGGGCAGAAGAGGAAAAAGAAGAAGAAGAACAAGAAGAAGCACAATGCCGCCGATAGTTCCTCCACCGAGTCCAGCTCCTCCTCTTCCTCTTCCTCATCACCTTCAGAGGCCACTTCAGCCTCCGAGTCGGAAGATGGAGACTCCGACTCGGTCGCCAGTGAATCGGACACGGGCCATCGTAAGCGTCAGCGTCTCCGCGCCAAGGCACGAGCCAAGCGGGCCCAACGCGATAAGAAGAAAAAGAAGAAGACAAAGACAAAGTCCAAGTCCCGTAAGCAGGCTCAGTCGGATTCCGATACCGAGTCTAGCAGCGAGTCCGATTCGGAATCCAACGATTCGGCCGACGATGCAGAGTCGACGATGGACGAGAAGGCGCTGCGAAAGCTGGTCGCTCGCTTGAAGTTGCAGAAACGAGCCAAGCGTCTACGTGATCAAACCAATGATGGTCTAGGTGGTCTTGACCCGCTGGGTGAGAATCGACGAGACAAGCGATCGCGGAAGAAGAAGCCTGCTTCGAAGGTAGCTTTCAAACGAGTTGATCAACGTGAGTATTCTTTCAAAGTATTATAATTTTATCTTCCCTGCTTTACTAACCATCTGCATGATCAGTCTGGGATAGCACCATTCATAATTACAAGCTCACCGAAACCGTCGATGACCCTGATGCCGACGGATGGGACCAGTACATCTTCACCGTGCGCCGCAAGTTCAACTGGGAAAACAAGTACCTGGAGACGGTGGTCGACATCAAGAGCAAGCACCTTCGTGATGCTCTCGGCAAGGTCATGGACGGGGTCAAGGGCGTCAGTCTAGTACAGGAGCCCGCCGTCGTCGACCCCAACATGCTGTTCTTATACCTCGAGGAGACTCGGCAGTATATGAAAGACCTCAAGCGAGAGGCTCGGAGTGAGAAGAAGAAGAAGGCGCGGAAAACTGCTGCGGCCAAGGCCGCTCATCTGAAAGTCCTGGTTAAGTACCTGGACACGGACTACTCCGACATCAAGAAGACTCTCTATCCACTACTCGAGGCCAACACCATCACCTTTGATCTGCTGTGGGCATTATTCAAGCCCAACACCATCGCATACACCCCCACATATGGAAACTCGGATGAGCCCCGGGCCTTCAAGATCGAATACGCAATCAAGGAGTCCTCCTTCATGCGAGGCCAATGGTACAGCGTGGAAGGCCGGTACCTCGAGTATGATGGAAAGGACTTTGGATTCGGTACCATGTCAGCCGAGGTGGAAGCCTTCAAAGGAGCCCGCAAGATCACCAGTCTAGCCTGCTATCCCCTGCAATACCACCGCGATTCCGAAGCTCTACGAGCGCGACTGGTCGAACGGGGCAAGCGATTCGTGTCGCTTCGTGGCATGAACTACCGCTTCCACAAGGGTATGGCCTTTTACAAGAAGAAGCGTTCCTTCGTGATCAAGGTCAACATCAATGGACGAGTCATGATCGATCCCGCGATTCACCGACGCATCAACCCCAATTACCCGATCAGCACGGTCCGGCCCAAAGACCCCGATCTGCTCGACGCATCAGAGGCCGGCTTCAGCGATGCCGAAGAAGACGGTAGCGACGGATGCTGCTGTGGAGGATCCGAGTCGGACTCTGATCGAGGCTGCTCATCGGATACCCCACGAACCGTCTACAAGGTGATCGAAGACGAGGACGGAACACCCCGAGTTGTCGAAGTCGAAGTCGACGAGAACGGCAACGAGATCCACAAGGAGAAGATGGACCGAATCGAGGGAGACGCAGCTGGCAACAAGGAGCGTGAATTCACCGAAGAAGAACTCCTCATCGCCAGTCCCGTCGTGCTCGGCTTCGCATTCAGCGAGAAGCTTTGGCTAGAATTCACCATCTCGGGAATCAGCGATATCGAATGGGACGCCGACGCCTTTGACTCGCTCGTGCTGGCCAGTAATCAAAAGTCCATTGTCAAAGCGCTCGTCGAGTCGCACACCTTCCACGCGGCAGAGAACATCGACGACGTAATCCAAGGCAAGGGCAAGGGCCTCGTCGCCGTGCTCCACGGTCCGCCAGGAACAGGCAAGACGCTCACAGCCGAAGGAATCGCCGAACTCCTCCGCCGACCACTGTACATGGTCAGCGCGGGCGAACTAGGCACGGACTCGCGCACGCTGGAAGCAGAACTCAACAAAATCCTGGACATCGCACACTCCTGGGGCGCAGTCCTCCTTCTCGACGAAGCAGACATATTCCTGGAGAAGCGCACGATCCACGACATCCACCGCAACGCGCTAGTCAGCATTTTCCTGCGTCTGCTAGAGTATTTCCAGGGAATCCTATTCCTAACGACGAACCGGGTTGAAACCTTTGACGATGCATTCCAATCACGTATCCACGTTGCACTGCGGTACGGCGATCTCAACGCAAAAGCGAAACGGAGTATCTGGAAGATGTTCCTGGAACGAGTGCGCGCTATCGAGGGTGTCAAGACTGCTGCTTTCTCGGAGAGCGATTACGATTTACTTTCGAGGCATACGTTGAACGGTCGTCAGGTAGGCCGCCCCCTCCCCCAACACACATCGTCACCCCATGATATCATTCTAGAGCATGGTTATGCTAACACATATTGTCATTCAGATCAAAAACTCCGTCCGTACAGCGCAAGCCCTCGCCGTCAACGAACGTTCCCCCTCTCAATGGACCATATCAAGCGCGTCCTCGAAGTGGCCGAAACATTCGACCAAGATCTCCGTGGTGGAACGGGTTATCTAGACGCGATGCGTAGTTACACCTAGTTTGGGACGTGAACATGAACATGAGGCACGAGACATGAGCATATCTAATTAGCCTAACACCCTTTTTTTGTTTTGCCCTTCTTTTCTTGATGTTCTTCTCATCTCATCGCTCTTTTGGTCAATTTGTTTTCCATTTCTTTCCTTCTTTCCTCTTCTTTTTCCTACTTTCTTGAATGTGGAGTTTGGTATACTGCAGGGAGACGGAGAATAAGGCGAGACTGGACATGGAATTGACATGGAATTGTGGATATGAGAATGGACAGTGAACGACAGATTTCAGTCCACGGCAAACACCATGCATTCTGGAGAAATTTGAGATTGTCTTGCGTTTCGTGGTTTTCGGTCGTTCTTTTTTGTTTCTTAGGTCTGGTCTGTTGAGATATGGACCTTTTAAAGCGCGTCTAAATCTACTCTGATCTATAAATCCGAGGTATTCGATGACGGTAAAGTCACCAAGTTTCCAGTCACCATCTACAGTATCTTCTAGAACATTCTACTAGGACGACATATTCACGGCGTTTAGACCGACATTGATCATGACTGGCATATCGATCTAAAAGTACAGAGATTCCATGGTTCCTAGTCCGGAACAACGGATAGTTATACAAGGGGAGGAGTCATTTAAGGGTTGGCCTTGACAAAGTCAACACCCTTCTGGATGTTCTTCTTCAGGTCAACCAGGCAGGCATCGAGGAGCTTCTGCTCGTACTCGTTAACCTCACCGACGGGGTGGATGGTCTCGACACCGTTGGGGCCGAGCTCGACGCGGGAAGCGAAGAAGTCGACGCCCTGGTCCTTGTAGAGGGGAGACTCGACAAAGGTGGGCTCGATGACACCCTTCTCGCCCTGGGCGGCGCGGAGGAGGGACTCGGCGAAGCGAGCACCGGCCATGGCCATGGAGAGGGTGGCAGAGCCAGCACCGTCCTTGGCCTTGACAACCTCGTCACCACCGAACTGGATGCGGTTGACGAGAGCGTCGCGGGTCTCGCCGGAGATGGAGGCGTGGTTGGACTGCGACAGCAGGGGGACGATGGTCACACCGGAGTGGCCACCGACGACGGGGACCTTCTCGCCAGCGGGGTCGGTCTTCTGGACCTGGGAGATGAAGCGGGAGGCACGGACGACGTCAAGGGTGGTGACACCGAAGAGGCGCTTGGGGTCGTAGACACCCTTGGACTTGTAGACCTCGGAGACGATGGGGACGGTGGAGTTGACCTAAGGAATTGTCAGAATAAGAAAGAAGAAAAAAAAAACGTGCGGATACAAATTGTAGAACATACAGGGTTGGCAATGACCAGGACGTGAGCCTTGGGGGCAGCCTCGGCAGCGGCCTTGGCGAGGTCGCGGACGATGGAAGCGTTGGTGTTGAACAGGTCATCACGGGTCATGCCGGGCTTGCGGGGGACACCAGCGGGGATGAGAATGATCTCAGAGTCCTTGAGGCACTCACGGAGACCAGCGGCATCGGGGTTGTAGCCAGTGACGGTGCTGTTGGTGTTGATGTGGCTCAGATCGGCAGCGACACCTGGAAATACAAAAATCAGCGGTCCAATTCGGAATTGCGAGGTCGCGGAATCGCAATTGAAACTGTTGGGGGAGGGAGGGAAAAGCATACCGGGTCCACCACGGATATCGTAGAGAGCGAGCTCAGAAACACGGGGGTTGAGCTTCAGCAGGAGAGAGAGAGGCTGGCCAATGCCACCGGCAGCACCGAGGACGGCGACCTTGGAGGCCTGTGATGAAGGAAGGTGAGGTTAGCGCTAGCACGGGCAATGTGGTCGGAAGAATCAGGGAAGGGTGCGATAATTCTAGGAATTGGGATGGGGGAAGGAAAAAAGAGAGGAATTGGATATACCTGGCTAGCGGAGGCCGAGAAGGCACGCTTCTGGAAGAGGTTGAAAGACTGACGAGCGGCAAACATGATGGCTGGTCCAGATGGAGAAGTGGTGGATGGGGAAGAAGAGGAAGAGAGAGAAGAAGAGAGTTGGAAGGAGGAAAAGCGGACGGAAAAGGGCTCCACTTTTTCAGTTTTGGGGGTCTGCCGGCCTCCCGATGATCGGCTGAGCTCGACAGTACGAAGTAACTACATAGTCTAGGTACTTGGACTTGTACTTAGTACGGTAAGTATTCCGTCAATGCCGAGTTTAGCACGTGCTGATTTATAGTTATCCTGGATTATCGTGGATTATCGTGGTTTTACGTATACTTCGAGTAGCTAGTACTCTAGTTACTGTCCCATTAACCGCCCAGAGCTATTCTACCGAGGCCAGTCGCATGGAATTACTTCAAATAGAAATACAATCCTATGAGAAAGAAAACATCATATAAAAAAAAGGTTATAAACAAAAGACGCCATCGCTGATGAACACTCAACCAATCCCAATCCAATCCAGAAAAAAAAAAAAAAAGTACATAGAAATAAATCCCCATTTCCCTGCTCATCGCAAGAAATGCAACACGGCCCAGCAGAACAAGAAGAAAATCACCACTCCCCCCCAGAAAATCCACTTATCCTGACGAGCCCGCCGTTCCACCATCCGAATCGTATCTCCACTAACCCCCAACGTATTCGCCACGCTATATAGTCGGCGCTGAGTCCCCTTCAACACCTCCCGTTGTTGACCGAGGTCCGCCAACACGGCGCGACCCCGATCCAGGAAATCGTCCAGCTGGGTGTTTGTGTTTACAAAGAAGGACTGTTCGCGCAGGGCGTGCGTTTCACGAGTATAATTGTTAGGTCCCGCGCCGAAGCTCAACCCGGAGGAAGAAGGTGCAAAGGCTGAGGAGGTGGGGAGAGAGGACTGGGCATATGGGTTCTCGGGGGTGGCGGCGTGGTGGGGACGGCGACCGAGGAGTTCGTTGCGGTTGGTGACCGATTGCTACGAGAGAGAGTAGTTAGTGGGTATTCAGTCACAAATAGCGCTTGGAATTGCAGGGACATACCGCTTCCTCTCGTTCTTTGCGCAGACGTTCGAATTGAGTCCGGTAGTCGGCCAATTCAGTGCGGAAGTTCTTGACTCGCTCAAAGGCTTTCTCCTGCTTCTCCGGGATCAACTCCTTTTTAGATAGGGCCGAGTAGTCATCGATAGTACGAGATAGCGAGGAGAGTGAAGCGGCAATCTGGCCTGTCAAGAAAGAGGCCCCGATTAGTATAGTAGTTGGATGCGAGGGGACCCGGTTCAACACACCTTGTAGAGCGGGGGAAGAGGTCGCGGGCGACTGGGAAAATTGGTCCAGATCTCGGCGAACAGCAGAGGACTGCTTCAGAGCAGAATTGAAGAGGGAATTCTATTTTGATCAGCGAGTAGTCCCAAGAGGCATGGAGACGGGTACACACCATGTTGTCGATAGGGCGGCGAGCGCCACGTTCAAGGTCGGAGATTCACAGCGGGGCACAGATGGCTCGAGATAGTCGAGTAGATTCCAGGATACTGTAGATGGGCGACCAGATATTCAAGGAAACCGATCGTCTCCAAAAGCGTCAAGCCAGTATGGACTGCTTTGTAGAATCTCGAATCAACCACGTCTTGAAGGCCAGCTTGGTGTTTAGGCCGCTCACCGCCTTTGGCAGAGCTTCGAGCTGCCAAGTACGTCACCGACAGGTACACTCTGCATCCAGCATCAACAACTAGCAACGGAGAGGCATATTCAGACTAAAGTATTTGCTACTTCAGAGTACTCCAAGCCAGACCTTTTCTACACATTTTTTACGATCGAGCACGTGATTCAAAATGGTATCGTTGAAGCTACAGACGCAGCCTATCCAGCCGGGACTCCATTTGTCGCCCAAAAGAATAACAAGACAGCCAGGGATGCAGAATCTCAAATCTCACAAAGAGCTGGGATGGTATATGAAACAAAGAAACACACACAAGTCAAGCAAGGAATCGACTATTTCCAGTCGCAACCCGCAAATCCCATTTATTTGGGAGGGTACTTGTTCTGGAGGAACCATCTATACGCGAATAACACAGATTAGCAATGGCATCCTTCTTCGCATCCTTCTTCATACTCGCCTGTCGGATAAAGAATCACTAACTTGCTCACAAAGTAGTCCACCACGCCAAAAGCACCGACAGCGCCGGACCACAACCCAACAACCTCCCACGACAACTTGCCCTCGACATGCTTGCGATAAGCACCAAAGCCCAAACCCGCACCGACCAAAGTAGCCACCACGGCGTTCGTGATGAAGACGGGGTTATCCGAGTTCGCAGCCAGGCCACTGCTCTTCGCCTTGCGGGCCTTGGCCTTCTTCGCAGACTCCTCGCGCAGGCGCTTGGCCTCTTCCTCTTGGGCTTCGCGCTCGACGCGTTCGGCCTGAGTGGTGGTCTTGACCTCCTGGTTGAGGAAGTCGGGGTCAACGGCTTGGACGTGGGGGCCGTCGACGTCGATCAGGGAGGCCGTGCTCTCGGATTCATCCTTGTAAATGCCGCCAACGGCGGGGGCGCGACTGTGCAAGGGTGGAGTTAGTATATTGAGATGGACGTGTTGCGGGGTATAAACCGGTATATAACTCACGCCTAGGAAGATCTGTTAGCAGGTGGTTCAGGTAGTTCAGGTAGTTCACGCAGTATCCAGGACTGTCACATGGTACTTACTTCCTCGGGGGATTGCTTGGGGCCCTTGGCAGCAGCGTCGGCGTAAGACATGGTGTGAGTGTAGGCGAGAGAGAAAATAGATAGAGGCAGTTCTGGAGCTGGCCAGTCCGTCAGCGAAGTAGTATTAAGAAAGTGAATAGAAGAGGTTCTTACCAAGAGACTGATGTTCAGGGGGAGGGGAGGAATGAGGATTTAAGAGGTGGCAGAAGGTGGCAGGTGAACCTTGGAAGGTTCGGAGTGACATCACGTCATTGATTCTGGATGTTGGGTGGAGCCACACCTTGTTAGTTTACATCAGACCACGGATTACCTAACTATTGATTGATAAATGTATATCTCAATATTTGATGTTCTTCAAGATCTATTGAAAATGAAATATATGTCGTCAAAGTATTTAAAATGCTCAAAATCAACTCCTTCAATAGTTGAATAGTTGCTGTGCAGTGAACATGTGAAATGCTGACTGTCCATTCCTCAGCCACTGACGTGGATGCTTGCGGCCTCGAGGCTCAACTTGGCGGTACATTCAAAAACTACCGCTCATATGTACATGGTTTCCAATGGCGCCCCACGGGGGAAACCCCAATATGTGCGGAGCAAAGCGCTTTAACTTATACTCTATATAGATAATACATAATACATATCTACTGAACTAACCCAGTAGAATTATATACAATTCGCATACAATCTAGTCAAGTCGTATACAATCTAGTCAAGTCGCATACAATCGATTAGTCGAGAGATTATCCTAAAACTTGGGGGGAGAACCCCCCTAGTAGGAGCGTATCTGTTCCCTTTGGTCTAGCCTACCTCCGGCGCCCTGACATCGCTCCGCTCCACAGGTGCACCTCAGCGGATTCGCCAGTTTCACCGGATTCGCCAATTTCTAATTCACCAACCTCATCAATTAACTACCTACTCCCACCACCACCACCACCAACCATACCTAAATCTACCAAATCGGGCAAGCATCTCATGAAAGAGGCCCTATTGTCAGCTTGTAACCATAGTTAATGTGATTCTCGGTTGACCTACGCACCAAAATATATAGTAAATGCGATAAATTACGAATTCATATCTCAACAATCACATCTATTTATGATAAGATATCAAAAATATTTAAATAGATCGGATTTCTAGCCTACTAGGGAAGTATAGGAAAATTATATGAAGTATTAATAGAGATATATATATTTAGGTCCCCCGTGTTGAAATTACTATGGTAACGCATCGAAATAATCAGCTCAATTACTTCAGAATGAGACAGACTATTTCATTTACTAAGAAAAGCCTATATTCCAATGTCCAAGTAAAAATAACCGATGGCTGTTGAGATATGGATTGGTGGCTTATCGGGTTTACTGCATGTTGTGTGGTGCGCAGGTCAACCGGGAATTACGTTACAGCTAAATTCGAAATTGGCTTCCATGATTTACACAGAGGAATTGTTTTCGGAACCCCAAGTCGAAGCACGCTAGCTCAATACGGTTAGTGGAGCCGCAGGGGTTGTTACGCCAAACTTACACAGCAGAGGTTCTTTCAAAACATTGTATCAAAACTGGTTGAATTGGTATAGGCTAGTATGCATATGGACGAATGAGAACTATCGGAATCATACAGACAAGGTTGATTGATTGAAGAAAGGAAAGGACTCGAACGAATGGAAAAGGGGCAGGTTGAGCTGTCCCATGGCGGTGTAACCGGGTATTCGAGTGACCATACCGATGTCGAAAGGTTACCCGCATATTACATACAAACACATACAAAATCTGGGAAGGAAATGGACCAATCCGAGGTCACTGGAATGAAACTCTCCACTTTTCCACGACACATTGTTACACAAGCTGTAAGTTACATGCCTAGAGATATAGGATGTAAGGGCAATAACAATCATCGCAACGGTATTCACGCAGCAAAGGATTAATACATGACACTGATCAATTACAATGTAACAGGATCTCTCTGAACTACGTATTCCGGTTCCGGGGGTTAGAGGGTCTAAGCTGTGGTAACAGAGAAACAGGGATGTCGAATGATAACAGTAGCAACATGATGTGTTACACAATTTTCACAATCTCTTCACGTCCGCTATGGCGAGCAAGGCGGAGGGCATTTCCGTACTCTCAACCTTGGTCGTCGACCTCGGCTCCTTTCTCTAGCAGCATCTGCACAATTCTGCCATGTCCTCCAAAACATGCTGCTTGGAGGGCATATCCGTCTAGTCTATCTCGGGCGTTGACATCGGCTTCTTTCTCAAGAAGCATCTGCACAATCTTGTCGTATCCTTTAGAAGATGCTGCTTGAAGGGCATTTCCGGTCCATTCATCTTGGGCGTTGACATCGGCTCCTTTTTCAAGCAGCATCTGCACAATCTTATCGTATCCTTTAGAAGATGCTGTTTGAAGGGCATTTCCGGTCCATTCATCTTGGGCGTTGACATCGGCTCCTTTCTCAAGCAGCATCTGTACAATCTTGTCGTATCCTTTAGAAGATGCTGTTTGGAGGGCATTTCCGGTCCATTCATCTTGGGCGTTGACATCGGCTCCTTTCTCAAGCAGCATCTGCACAATCTTGTCGTGTCCTTTAGAAGACGCAGCTTGTAGGGCATTTCCGTACTCTCCTCCTTGGGCGTCGACCTCAGCTCCTTTCTCTAGCAGTATCTGCACAATTCTGTCGCGTCCTCCCAAGCATGCTGCTTGGAGGGCATTTCCGTACCAACCACCCAAGGAATTAACATCAGCTCCATTATCCAGCAGTATCTGCACAACCTCAGCATGTCCATTCCATGACGCCCATGTGATCGGGTATGTACTTGTATCGTCTGCTGCATTGATATCACTTCCATTGATAGTCAGCAGATGCTTGACTTCACGCTCATGGCCATTAAATGCGGCCAGATGCAGTGCCTTCATCGATGGTATCGTGTGGATTGGCATAACAGCCTTCCAAAAGATGGGAAACCATAGAGAAAACAAATTCCCACTTGATTTATATACCTGATGTAATCGATCATTTAATTCTTGGCTTGAATTTGAACTCATCTTCCGCACATGATCGGCCCAATAGACTGCTGAGTATTCCAAGAAGCTCAGAGCATCGGAGCTCAACTCTTCTTTTTCAGCTTCCAAGTCCTCCATTGATAAGTATTTCAAGCAAATAGAGGCCATTTGATCCTCTGTATCAATAAGGCACCACGAATATAAGTCATGGACACTGTTCATATTGGCCTTGAAAATGAGAAACTCCCTTGCGGTCTGGTGAATCAGGTAGATTTTGGTGTTGTTGATGAAAACAAAAAGTCCACATAAGCGCCGTAGCTTCTTATCTATCTGTGATGAATCTAGCATCGCCTCTACTGCAGTCTGTGATTCTGGGTAGAGGGTTATACCCAGCGCCATGGCCATTTCAGTCGTTGTTAAAGGCCGCCGTGCTGCTATAATAATCTGTAAGACTTTCTTCACGGTATGTACTTTATCGGGAGGCACTCGATCGAGGATCCTTTCGTAAGCGTGATTCACGGAAGGTGGTATCAGTCGGACGGATTCCTCAGCAGGCCGAAAGCTATTCTCAAATGTTGATCGAATATCGTCAATAGCTAAGTGTAACCAAAGATACGTCCGATGTTCCATTTGTAGAAGTTGTTGTTCTAGTCGCTGCTGTGTATTCTGTCCTAACTGTGCTGTTTCGGCAAGCTCTCTTACTCGCATCTTCACAACAAGATCAATTTCCTTGTGGATTTGATCATTTTTCGCCTCTCCTTTGAGATGTAAATATGGGAAAAAGTCTGTAATCGTTCGAAACCGATTCTGGATATGATGATAAGGTCGGCCAGTGACTAGAAATTTCAGCCAGCTATCCTGTCTCAGAGGACGGTATAGACGGTGAAAATACTGGAGCTTCTCAATCAATCGATCCTGATCAATGTCACGGCATTCATCAAGCGCATCAAATATACAAATCGTCTTGTATGATGTGTCAGATAATGTAGCCGTTATAAGAATTCGCCAAAGTTCATCCACCTCCCGTTGGAGCTTCGCCCCGTTCCTTTTCCAGGAGGGCATGGCATAATGTATTAACTGGGGCCACTGGCTGAAGAGCTGATGGAGTACTGAGCATAGCGCTACGGCAAGATGATTCTGTTCATCGTTTTCTTTAAAAAAGAAGTAACAGACCGCCCTCTCTGGATCAGAGGTTTCCAAGCCGTCATCGATAATCGATCTGGACAGCACAGACTTCCCGCAACCTGGGTCGGCAGATATCCAAAGGAGATCATTGCGGCTGCTCTGTGACCACCGGATGTACTCAGCACTCTGTAGAGCCCATAGGCAGGTCCCTTCTACCTTTCTAGGATTGATGTTCTTTTGCTCTTCGTAGCTTGAAATTTTCAGGGTTTGGAGACAAAGGCGTTCCTTATCTTCTAAGGCTCTGTACTTCTGTTCACTATGATGTCGAGCTTGTTCATTGTGTAGTCGATCTAAGCGTTGAATGGCGCCGTCTAGCCTTTCTTAAAAAAAAGGCTATAGATCAATAATGATTCATGAAACAGTTACAAGACTACACATGACTAACCAGATATAATCCCAGTGATCCTCTCCTCAGCTTCAATTCGATTAAGAGGGATCCTCTGCAGAAGATCTTTCGCATATGCAGCTGCCGCCATCGCTGCATAACCTTGCCACTCCTCATTCTTATGTGAGTCCGCGTAGTCGCATATACCCCTGATAACAAGACACGGAAAATTATTCATCAGCCCGGCGGCTTCCGTTTCGAAACAGAGAACATTCTTTTCTCTTGCTAGTTCGTCACGAATCAACGCATTCTTCATCAGTTGATTGGCAGAAGCGATCAGGCCATAATGTATAGCAGGATTATCTTCGTTCTCAGCTCGCTCACTTCGAGGTATCAATTTCGACGGATGATCTGCACATGAAGCACAGCCTCCTTGTTGATGGATAACATCGGACCGAAAAAATCTATCGGTGATTTGCTCTGGCCGTTTATACTTGCGGTGTAATCTCACGTTCTTCTCAAGAATGCTATGAATGGTCTCATCGAGGTGATGCCCCTTTCTTTCGTATTGTGTCCGAATCCCAGTCACCGCAGTGCGTAAAATAGTTGGTGGCTGATTAAGAAACCGTGTGTGCTGAAAACTTCGACCCTGTATCGATTTACCAAAGTCATACTGGAACACACCACTCTCAGTACCACGAGGCGCACTGACTACGATATCGCCTAAACGGATGTCATTGCTCTCGCTTGGTACACCTCCTCCAATCCCGACCATCAGACCGATCCTGATATTTTGAAAACTGCTCAGCATGTTCGTCGCTACATTAGCGGCAGAGGCGGTTCCATATTCACCATCGGGCAAGACGGCGATGACAACGTTATGGTCGCCTATTTTGCCTAAGGTGTAGTCGTTGGCATCATTTGGCGACACGAAGGTCGGTTTTTTATGCTCTTCATCGAGGAGTTCCTGTGCGGCAATGTATTCCACATGCAAAGCGCAGATCCAGCCCACAGTGTATCCCGTAGGGTCCGACATGACACCAAGTTGAGAGAAGAAAAACTTGAGGCCGGATGTGAAGTCTATTACTATCGCTGCTTTGCGTTCGAAAGTCTCGATGCCTGCTGCGTAATAGAGACTGAAGTCACGAAGACAAAATGCGTCGTTATGAGGGTGGGATATTGGAGGGGTGTTGAGAGAAGGAATATCAAGATAAGCCGCCAGCTAGGAAGGCTCAGCCGCCTGACCAACACGACACGTCGCAGCGAGCGGCAACACAAGAGACGCTATTGGCGGCAGCCGTCTTGTTCATGCATGTCCATGCGCCCGAAGAATGAGACTACAGGATATAAGAAAACCAGGCGCAAGCACAGGTATCGATGGATTTAGCGCGCTTTTTTGGATATAAGAAGGCTGCGTGAACACGGGGAACCGAACAGAAGCTATTCTCAAACACCAGGGCTGAGCCTCGCGCCAAACACGAAGCACAGCGAACGCGAGAATTTCGATGCTATTGGCGGGAAGTACCTTTCCCAGGCCAGGGGCACGACACGTGATATGATTACCACGTCGGAAACAGGCCACGTTCCACACCAGCGCTCGCCTTATTCTAGAAATTGTCGCCTGTCTGCCAAACTCGTCCCATAGTAAAATTGCCATCTAGTCGAGGTAAAGGTCTGGCTTCTCTTGTGAATGGTCGCACACAATCTCCAGCATTGGCCGTGTAATACTTCCCGGTCTACCTGCTCGGATAAAAACGCGCTCTGGTGTCACCGAATTGCCGTAGGTTACTGAGAATGGTAGACAGAACGTGGGCTTCATCCAGCCACATCAGCAACCTGGGCCGTACTTAGTAATTTGTCCAAGATCATATCTCGGATGAACTCTTGAGTAGAAGGGGCTGGAGGGTCGGAGCCGTTGTGCCTTCGTCTTGTGGTGAGGGCAGTAAAAATAACATGGTCTTGCTCGAAGCGGCCAAAGCGGACTGGAAAGTATCGGCAGAATGAGTGTCAACGAGATGTATTATTACAGGAGCTGTATATAGGTATTCGTATTGTTAGATATCTTACGGTTCTTTCATGACGTTCAGAGTTAATCTACTGGTGACGCGCGCTGTCGCACGCCGTGGCCCTGAAACGAAACAACCGTAAGTTGAATGATAATATGAAAGTCGAACGATGAGTTTTGATATCGCACCGGAAAAGTATAACATACATCCGCTAGGATCAGCCAATTATATATATCTCGGGTGACGTAGTAAATGTGGCGTAGGGTGTGATGATTGGACGAGAATGTAAGGCTATAATACATTAACAAAGTCTATTTATAAACTCAAATTGAATTAAGAAGAGGGGAGTATGTATAAAAAAGGAGATAAATAAGCATTTTGTCGGACTCTAGGCGGTGACCATAAAGTCGTGGTTATACACACAAGACGATAGTGTGCATAAGGATTGGTAAATACTCAATATAGTGTCTGAATATAGTTATGAGTCTATCGGTCGTGCGCACTTCTATGAAGGAGAAGTACCACGATTGTGGAAGAGTACCACTGATCTAGAAGAGAGATCACAAAGGATGATAAACTTGATTCAATTTAACTAGGAAACATAGCAGTATTTATATCACAAGAAACATAGCAAAGGATTACATGATAAATCAACAGAATCAGAGTGTTGAGAGTCTCTTGCTTAGGTAGGCAATCATATGCGAGATCGTTGAGGATCAATCTGCTAGATCTTTATAGAAGAAGATCTATATGTAGAGAGGGGAGTGGGTCCTTCGTCATGTGACCCCACAACATCCATATATTGACACATTTTTACATAAGTAAGCCTGAAGAAACGTAAACCACAAAATAGAGTCCGATTACAGACAGTTTGATAGTTCACGCGATATATAAGGCCGTTATAAGGGTGAATCTACCTTCGAAAATCTACGGCTTCTCTTGGGTAGAGGACCCCGAAGGAATATATCAGCCGACGACCTGTCTTCTAGGTGTATCAGTATATTAGTAGTTATATCCTTAAGGGTGACATCGTCGTAGTGTTTAGATTCTATTAGAAGGGGCGTCTTAGTAGAGGAATAGGACTAGTGGTTATCGTCTTGCGGTTAGGAATCAGAGCTAATAGTTAGTATTCGTGGTCTCTTTGTTAGAGTTATTAGGTTAGCACGACTATTCTATCTATCTATATACTTCTACTTTCCTACTAATAACGTAGGAGTCACCGGAGCCGTCGTAATAGAGCCGGGATTTAGAATAAAATAAACGTTATCCACGCCTATTACTAGTCGAGGCGTATTAGCAGTGATACCGAAAATTCTCCCCGTGATAAATATACGGGACTACGTAGAAAGAACGGGGAATTTTGTCTAACGGTTTCCGTTCCTAAAGTAAATAGAAACTATAAATATCGTAGATACCTTATTTAAGGGATCGTAGACATTAGTCTCGAGGTCGTAATATAATAGAGTACGTCCGTTATTTAACTATCCCCCTCCGATTCGGACTATCCCTAGTAGGCTAACTATAGGGAGAGCGGCCTCTAGGTAGTATATATTATACGTATAAGAATCGGAATAATCGCCCGGGTAACTAAGGAAGCCTTTAGCGGTGAGGAAATAAGGCTAGCTTTGTTATTTATATCTTACTAGTTAACTTTATAGGCGTGTAAAACTAGATATAGAGCCCTATCTAGGTCGACAGAAGTCAAGAATAAGCCCTAAGTATAGATAAATTTATTAGATTCGTAGGATTAACGGTTACCCGGTAAGGTAAAGAAATATATAGTAGTCGGAACCTTATTTAATTTAATATTATCCGAGTAGAGATTCGTTTAAAAGGGAAGATATATAGACGCCTCGATTTATAGAGTAAGTCCCTACTCTAGTCGAGACGGGTTAGGTCCTACGCTATTTATAAAGTCTCTTAAGTGGAGAATAGCTAGGGAGTTACTCTAAGATAGCATAAGGACGGTATTAGCGAAAATCAAAAGTTTACGGGTAATATAGAGGTTTAATATAAGACGTTCCTATATAGAGGAAATATATATCGAGAACACTACTAGCGTATAGAGGCAACGATTTAATATAAGCTTCTAAATAAGTGAAAAGACCTATAGTATCTTAATATCGTATCCTCGTTATAAGGTATCTAGGCAAGAAAAGTATATAAAAGAAGAAGCGTACCGGCTATTATTAAAGTACGAGAGACTTATGAAAAAGGTAGTACCGATATATTTAGTGACTATAGTGCACTAGACTAAGTTTTAAGTTACACTCAATTTAGCAGAAATAAATAAGTTATAAAACTTTACCGGACTAATATAGGGTTAATATGCGTAAGTAGAAGGGAGTTATAATATTAACGGTATTAGGTTAATAAATCGGATTATTATAATAAATTATACGGGACGCTTAATATAGGTGATATAATATTAAGGACCTAGATAGTGAGGTTAGCTTCTTTCCTTTAATAGGAAATAATAAACGACGTCGTGTATCGTGGAGTATCGATAGCTATAGCTAGATAGATCGTAGCGTAGTTAAGGTTACGGAAGATAATAACCTAAATCCGATAGGAGCGATTTAGGTTATAAAGTTTAAAACTCTACTTAAGTTCGTGCTAAACCCTAGAAATACCCTACCTAAGTAGTAGTCTAAAGTATATAAGTGATTAGAACTTATAAACAAAACCTAAAATCTAGCGAAGTTAAAGTTTCGTTATAGTTTCGTAGTGTAAGATTTAATTAGATAAGCATAGATACAAAGTATATAAAATTCGACTATAATAGAATATAACGTTCTATGGTAGAAGTTTCCTACTAAGTAGTAATTATCTCTTTTTGTCACGGGCCAGTGCCCGATATAGGTCACGTGTATCACGAGACCTTAGCATATTAACGTGGGGAACGTACGGGATAAACTTCTTCTCCTTAAGCTTTTTGTAAATAGCATGTTAGCCTAGTTAGATTGAATCAAGTCTTACTTTAGCCCTTCACATACAAAAAGCTTCCTTCTACACCTAGAAGTATCATTGGTTATTGGAAAGTCCTAGGAAAACGACCTAGGCACTTATTAGAAATACCCCTGAATCCCTAGCGATTTAGCGACGAACACCTATTAGAACGGAATCCTCGCGTATAAACTCTTAGCGCTCGAGACGTATTAGAAAGCCCTAGAAGACCTGTCGGACTCTAGGCGGTGACCATAAAGTCGTGATTATACACACAAGACGATAGTGTGCATAAGGATTGGTAAATACTCAATGTGGTATCTGAATACACGGTTATGAGTCTATCGGTCGTGCGTACTAACAGAAGTACCACGATTGTGGAAGAGTACCACCGATCTAGAAGAGAGATCAAAAGGGATGATAAACTTGATTCAATTTAACTAAGTAACATAGCAGTATTTATATCACAAGAAACATAGCAAAAGGTCACATAATAAATCAATAGAATCAGAGTGTTGAGAGTCTCTTGCTTAGGTAGGCAATCATATGCGAGATCGTTAAGGATCAATCTGTTAGATCTTTATAGAAGAAGATCTATATGTAGAGAGGGGTTATATAAGTAGGTCCTTCGTTATGTGACCCCACAATATCCACATGTTAACACACCCCCTTAGTTCTCGATGTGTGATAAGAATAAGAGTAAAGTGAGAACTGAATGAGAGAAAAGAGAATAACTAGCTAGGAGGTGGTATCTCCATGCCTAGTTGTTTGATGAATTCGACATGCTTCTGCCTAGGTAGGTACTTAGTAAGACCGTCTGCGGGTATATCGGTGGTTTTGACCCATTGGATAGATAGGCGCTTTGCCTGCACCTCTTGACGAATCTATAGGCGGTTAATATCCACGTGACGAAGTTTGGTCTGAAAGACTGATTTCTCGCGATTTAATAGGTCAACGGTTTGCTTGTTATCGCAATTTAACACTTCTTGCTGTTCAGTGTTGAATTCGATGAATTCGAATAGGCGTTTAACCCAGTATAGCTACTTAGCTGCATGTAATATAGCTAGTAATTTAGCTTCTGTGG